ATTCTGAGGCTTTCAAATTCTTCTATATACTATTATTAATTAATATTATAATATACTAATTATTTCTGAAAGATTTTGATTATATAATATAATTTTTATTTATATATTTATAGATAATTATTTTATTATATCCCTGATCAGAACTAGATACTATTAATTAATATTATAATAATTTAGTTTCTAGTAAATATATTTATATAATATAGATATAATATAAATATTTATTTATATATAGCAGAATAATCTACTAATTAATATTAAAAAGAAATAAAAGAAAATAATACTATATAATTTCATCTAAATAATATTATTTAATATAAAATATATTAATATAATGAACAGAACAGTCACAGATAATTTTATAATTAATAATAATTAATAAAAAAATTTATATAATAATAGTAATAATTAATAATAAATAATAATTTATATAATAAGATTAGATTTATTTTTACTACTATCAGTAGCTTCTGATTCTAATTAATTATTATTAATATATTTAATAGATTTTTTATTTTTTTAATTACTATTAGTAGAATCTGATTTCTCTAACTTAGTCTAAGATTTAGTAATATCTGGAATAGACTAAATATTATTAATATATTTAATAAATTTTTTATTTTTTTAATTACTATTGGCAGGATCTGGTTTCTCTAACTTAATCTAAGATTTAATAGTATTTAGAACAGACTGGATATTATTAATAATAATTAACTTATTAATACTAGATATCTTAGAATTCTTAGACTATTTAAAAGTAATCAGTTTAGACTGATTATTTTTATTTACTATAAAAATAATAGTTATATTTTCAGTATTTTAATAATTACTAGTTATAAATAAGTTTATAATTATCTAATTATTCAGGTTCCAGACTAATATAATATTAATTAATAATTATTAATTATAATTTAACTGGGATCAGCTGGTAGATACTAATAAGATTAAAAATAATATTAGATATTAATATTATTTAATAATAATTAGAAATATCTAATATTATAATTTAAAGAAAAGATATTATACAGAAATTTATAAATAAAATTAATTAATAGAAACTAGAAAATAATAATAGAAATTACAGAAGATATAATTATATAGAAAAATTTATAAATAAAAATAATTAATAAAAATCAGAAATAAATAATAAAAAATAGAAGAAAATAATAAAAATAAGAATAATATTAAAAGTATAATCTAGATCTGTAAGTTAAGATATTAATCTATAATTTATTTTATTTTAATATATTTTCTGATTAGTAAAGAATATAAAAGCAGTATATTTAAATATATTAAATATAATAATAATATTTTAGATAATAGAAATAATACTTTAAAAGATATTTTTTAATAAAATAAAATATATAAAAATAACTTATCTAAAGATTAATAACTTGAGATAAATAAAAAGAGAAAAAAAAAAAATAAATATTACTAGAAAATTATTAATAAAGATATTTTAGATTAATTTAATTAAATTAATTTATATAGATATTACTACTGGTAGATACTAGTAAATAATAAAATTATATTTATTAATTACTTCTTTAAGCAGGCTGGTGTTGCAGATTCTTTTTTCTAAATATTATTAATAAATATTAGTAAGTAATAAAATTATATTTATTAATTAGTATTATAGATTCTTCTCTCTGAGTACTATCAGTAAATACTAATAAATAATAAAGTTATATTTATTAATTAATATTACAGATTCTTCTCTCTGAGTATTATTAGTAGATATTAATAAATAATAAAATTATATTTATTAATTATTTTTTTAAATAAGCTGGTATTGCAGATTCTTCTCTTTAAATATTATTAATAAATATTAGTATAAATTAAAATTATATATATTATATATAAAATTAATAAATTATATCTAGTTTATCCCAAAGCTATTAATTAGATATAGAATATAACTAATAAAATTATAAAAATTATTTTTATAATTTTTATTATATTTATTTATAATTTTAGACTCTGGAGTGACTTCCTGTTAGATAATATATTAATTTATATTATAAATAATTAAAAATTTCTAGTAATATATTGTACCATACATATACTTAAGTTAATATTAATATTATATATATATATATATATATATATATATATGTATATGTATGTGTATATATATTTTTAATAAAATTATTTTTTTATAATTAAAATTTATTAATTATTTTTAAGTTATATCAAATAAAGCTTATCTTAATATTTAAATTATATTAGTAAAATATAAGTCTACTAGTATCTGCTGGAAAGAACTAGATATAATTAATAATTTTAAAATAGATTTATAATATAAAAATATTATTAATATATAAAAATAGAAATAGAATAAATAATATCTGATATATATATAATAATCTATAACTAAAACTTTTTAGATTAGGATTTTTTAATCTTAACTAATAATTATTAGATCTTCTAATAAAATTTAATTAAAATTTTATATAATATAAGATCTTATTAGATTTATTACCTGGTAAGACAGTGTATTTTTACAGTTTAATTTTTTTAATAATTAGTACTAATAACAACCAGATCCTATACTGATAAGAACCAAAAATACATACGACCTGGCGATCTGGGGACCTAACGACCCGTGAGAAAGCACACTACATTATTACTGGTAATTTGGCACGTGTATTACCTTCCCTGAGGTTGTCAGATAGACATGTAGAAGACATTATAAATCATTTTCCAATATTCTAGAAGACATTCCACGCATCATTGGAAAACGGAATAATATGAAAGAAATGATTCTAGTATCAAGGCCAGATGGTTGATAGGTGCTAAAGAAGAGAGGTATTTCGTACTTTTCTGACCAAAATTTGCAAAGAACCATTACAAGTAATGTAACGGCGAGTACACCTAGATAGAAACAAGCTGGATCAAGCTCAAAGGATTCAGCCCCACCAAGACGGATGTCAATCCACCGGGGCCAGCCGCACTCGCACCTCCAAGGGTCGCTTCTCCACCAACAAGAAGGTCCGCAATTCTTCCCATTGCAGGCGTTTCCCCTCTTCCGCCTCGAAATCAAAGCCGACCAGTAATTTGGTGAGGATCAACCTCATCTCTGCCCATGCCAGGTGCTGACCTAGGCAAGCCCGTGGCCCCATGCTGAACGGCTGCACCGCCTGACGGTCATCGTGGTAAAAGGGTGAGTTAGGGTTGTTCAACGCATCCGGAAGCCATCGCTCGGGAACGAAGGACGAGGCTGCATGAAAGCGAGAGGGGTCGCGATTGAGGGTGTAAGCCTGCAGAGAAACCGGGGTCTAGAAGGTTGTGTTTTCGTTGTCAGTAGTGCTTATGTCGATCATATATCTAAACGGGGTGAGGGACCCCCAGCGATTTGTTTGTTTGACTTACCCCGCCTGGTAACCAAGTCCCACACACAGTACTTCCTCCTGGTGGCACCTGGCGGGGAAGCATCCACGGCACGGGTGGACACAGTCGGAGACCCTCCTGAATCACTGCAGTGAGGTACGACAGATCCGCCGCTGCTGACAGGCTGATGTCTTGACTCGATTCGAACCTTTCGCGAATCTCCCGGATGAGGCGCTCCTGAATTGGTGGTTCATTGACTAGATAGGCCAATATACCTGTCAACACCGTAGCAGTTGTCTCACTGCCCGTTGTTGTCAAGATCATAAAGGTCGAGTTAAGCTCCCCCCGTGGTAATGCCACTTGGCCATTCTCATCGATTAAGTGAGACATGATATCTGGTCGCTGAAGTTCCCAGCTAAGCCGTCGGTCGATCTTGTCCACGATTTGCCGGTAATGGCGCTGACTCTTTTCGTGCAGCGAGCGGGGGATGCATTTCATCAGTAGCGCTTCTAACGGGGGGTAATACCGCGCTGCCGCAATGAATGAGGCTGCCTTAACACTACCAAATAGTAGTGCAATCCAGGGGTGATACCGTGAGTGCTGTAGACACTCAAATGACTCGCCAAAGCCGAGGTCGCCGAAAATGTCAAAAGTGGTGAAATTGAACCAGGGACCCATGTCAATCACTGCTCCGTCTGTGCCAGCGGCTGACACTTGGTCTCTGATCCGGTCGACGAGAAGTGAGGCATATCTCTGCAGCACAGCCTCCTGCACCCTCAAAGCACGCGGAGTGAACGCCGGTGCGAGTAATTTACGCATACGAGAATGTTTGGTCGGATGGATCGCACTCAAAAGAGTATCAGGCTGACCAGGCTGCCTTCGCCACCAAAGGGGATCCTTGAGAAATTGGCGATCATCAGGCCGACTCGCATAGATGTCTGTCCAAGCGTCCCCGCTGGCAAAGCTGACCTCATCGGGGGCGGTACGCACAACAGGCCCATACTTGCGATGCAATCTTTCAAAGTCATGAACAATTGTGCCCCGAAGTAGCGCTCTAGTGAACGGCAAACGGGTGGCAGACCAACTAATTGGCCCGGGTAAATGGCTCAATGGACTGAAAAACACATTGTAGATAATGCGGCTTATTGGGTACTAAGCAAATAGATTTCAGTATTATTCGGATCAAAGTAGAGTAGTCAGTTGAGGAGGAAGATGCATACAATTACGAGCAGGGAAATGCCTATACTCAAAAGGTTAACAGCCATGTTGATGGTCGGGTGGTAGGGTGGTAGGAGGGAAAATGTAGGAGTTAGTGAAGCACACTAAATAGACGTTCAAGGAGACAGTATTGCTAAGGATTGGAGGACAAAGAGCTGTTAGCTTATGTGAACTAATGCATGCACGTACAGCCTATCACATTGTGGCCCCCAATTTCCCAAACGACAGGCAGGGGACCCCTGTATGATGACCTCTTGATTTTGCCCTTCCATACTGCTTGTGTCTGCTCTGCCGCGCCTTCCCCGTATTATTATGGTAGAATTTCTTTCCTTTTTATCTAATTTTATTTTTCGAAACTTTTTATTCAGTATTTATAATTTTTCATCCGTTTTATTTCCCCATTTTACATTTCTCTCATCATTTTTCATATTGCTTTTTCTTATCTTTAATCTGGTTGGTTCCGGTATGTCTTCGCGTCTGTTCTCCCCAGTTGTATTAGTAAATATGCACAACTCCAAGTTCTTTTGACATCCTATTGTTTTATCTACCCCTGAGCTATCGGCGTATATAACGATTGTACCTTGCAACTTCTTCCCGCCACTCACAAGTTATTGGCATAGACTTCACTCACTTCCCTTCTTTCATTATGGCGACGCAGTGGCCAGGCGTTATATCTCCTCCTGCTGGTGAGCAGGCAAACTTTATCAATCCTGTCAATCATATGAGCGGAAATATTGCGCTCCATACTGTCTGCCTCACGCTTGCCACTTGTGGGGTTACGATGCGACTGTTTACACGAGTCAAGATCCTCAAATGTAAACTAGGGGCAGATGACTGTAAGTCAAGGAAACAAACCCTACTGTTCCCGGTGTGATACTGAGAAAGATTTGGCAGACTTCTGTGTCTTAGCCTGGGTAGGTACAAGAGCAGTTCACTATATATTCTTACTAGTATGACAAGAGCGCTGAGTTCGTAGTGTTTGACGGTAGTCTTTTCTGGGCTAATGTTCGAATGTATAACTTCCTCCCCATGACGGAATACCTAATCCAGGATTATAGGCTGATACTGAACGTGGTCTATAGCTTATCACTACGGAATTGGACGACATATGTGGGATGAACCGATGGCTTGGCTCGTGCCAGCTCTAAAGGTCTGCATTGTCTCAGCTCAAACACTTCGCGATATAATACTGATGAAAGAGATTTTACACAGTACTTCACGATCGCCCAATATATCTACCTCCTTTTAACCCCGGCGGTGAAATTAAGCTTTCTCCTCTTCTATTACCGAATATTCGCTCCAGATCGCAGAATGCGTTATCTAATTATTGGGGGGATAATCTTTGTATCCGTCACCCATATTGGCCTCTTCTTTGTCACTATATTCGAGTGTACACCGGTCTCACACGCATGGAACCAGTTCGGCAAGGGCAAATGTTTTCCTCCTAGTATACTGCCCTATCTTTCAGGTGCCCTGAGTTCATCGACAGACCTATATGTCCTTTTGCTTCCAATTCGATCCTGTCTAGGGTTGAACATGACGCTGCGGCGGCGATTACGATTACTGGCCGTCTTTAGTGTCGGTATCCTGTACGTGTTGCGATCACATTTGTGTGCAATTTTCTCGTATTGCTTGCGAACTAATCAAATTTATGCGCAGTGCCTGTGTGACTAGCCTGATTCGGCTGGGTAAGACACATGTCCTCTATGACAGTGCAGATAAGACTTGGAATATTTCAGACATAGCTATATGGGCGTATGTTCACCCCCAAGTCACTTGAATTGCATCTAACAATTTGTGTGAATACTTCGAGGCTGACTTACGACATGCTTGAAAACATCACAGTGTACTCGAATGCAATGTGGGCCTCTTATGTTCCTGCTTGCTTTTACTACCTCGATTCATCGAGCGCTACTACCCACGTGGCGTGGCCTCGTACTTCTCTCGACTTTGGAGTAGCAATCACCGAAGCAAAGAAAGCCCTGTTAAATATGTATCTTCGACTTTGGAGAATGGCGTCTGGCAATCACCGCAGCAGTGGGAAAGAATTTCGGGAAAGGATGTCCCTATTGAGATGAGTTCAACGGACAGATTATGCAAAGCGCCAGAGGCAGTTTAGTTGATGTGGTAAGAATGTTTGGATCAATGAGCTTGAGCTTTAGCCACGCTTATAGCACTTCCAGTGTACTCTTGCCGAGCTGCTAACAGCCAGCAGAAGGGGAAGGGTCTTTCTCTAGGATAAAGGCATAATTCATAGTTGCATAGACACCAGCTGAATGGGCCATAAACAGTAATTGACGCCATTATCATGCAGAAGTTTGCCAGGCAGCTGCCCAACTCAGTCACTAACCTTTGGTGTGAAGGGCCATGATTGACATGCTTATTGATCGGTAAGAAGCGAATGAACTTTTTCATCCTTTGCTCCTAGAGGTTGATCGCTCTTTTCTCACTGTCTTTTCTATGACAGTTGGGTTCTTTTCCTTTCCTTATTTCCTTGTTTTCTCTTTTATATTACGACGCTTTAAGATCGAACATTTGTACATAGAACTTTTTAGATAAGCATGTCTATGACTTGATTCCCATATCACACGGACTTAACATGTTAGCCATGATTTGAAGCTCGAAGACGACATGCCTTTCCGAGGGAATATAATGAGATGAAGGAAAAGAAAAGCGTAGAACTTTCGCCACTTAAATAAATCGTTTTAGAAATGGCGGGCCTTTTCAACGCTTACTATCTATACCTAGCGATTAGAAGATGTCGAAGCACTAACCGCTAGACCAAAAACGATATATCGCGCCTAGTAAGCCAGGCGACGGAGGAGATATCTGTTCCAATAGAAGATAGAAAGAGAAAGAAAGAGTCACTAAACGATGCAAATAAGCCACAGAGTAAAAATAGTCGATGGTGCCCCTCACCATTACTCAATTATAATGCGACCTGGAGATGATGACTTGCATGTTTGGATTTGCGGCACCAGACAACACAGACCCTTGATTCGTATGACTGTAAGCGAGATTGGCCAGCTTCTAGTGTGCAGTAGCGGCTTTTTGCAAGGCTGAAAGGTTTGGCTTGGAGAGTAAGTAGACAGGTTGCCGAACAAGTATTACTAGGAGGTTCTATAAGTTTCGTGCGACGGCCAATAAAATAAGCTTCAAAGCTTGTCGCGAAAAAAAAATTGGCAGTTGCTCCGGTTATTTTCGTAACGGAGATGTAGATCATTTCGGTATTAACAATATAGGCGTCACAAAATACGGTAACTTTAAAGTTGTCCTATCTAGGCATGAACACTTGACTCCGACGCCATGTCATGGTCCTCCCAGCAAGATAATCGAGGAGCGATGCACTCTCCAATTCCACGCCACTATATCACCCCTCAAGGCGTTCTTCTGCGTGACTGTGAGGCTATGCTGACCGTGCATCCCAAATCCGGTGTCTTGCACAGCATCTCCCCACCTCCATAGAGGCAGAGCCTTTCGATTTCTCTCAGGACCATCCCTCCTCCCCCAACTGCACCGTCTCTCCGTGTCTCGCACACTAAATTTTGGTCAATCACCGACGCTCAGTCGACTGGTGTAGTCATAAGTTCATCAGAAACAGTACGGTATTTTTGCGTCGTTCCAAATCAAGACTGCTTGATTTGCATTGATTAATGCTTCGTTACACCAAATGATGGACAGGACAATAGCAATAATACCATGGAGGATGTCTCTATCAAATTGAAAGTTTGCCAACGACAGTAATGATGCAGAGTTCAATCTACAGGCCCATTGAGAAGTCGTCAATGTTTAGGGAAACTTATGGAAACAAACCTTCCCTCTGTTTCGACTACTGCACGCATACTCTATGTTAGCAAAGACATTATCATTATCTCTCTCTCTCTCCCTCTCTTTTTTTTTTTTTTTTTTTTTTTTTTTTTTTTTTTTTTTTCGCTAAATGGAGTGGTGCAACTAGGCGAAATGGGCGTAGGAGGAAGTACCTCAGCCCATCGGGCGGGACAAGTCCAGCTGGGAAGTGGGCGATTACCTTGCCTGCTTTTTGTACTGGACCAAGGCCGAGATCTGAAGTCAGGCGAGGGTGTTCTCGATGGACGTGATAGCTCTAACCAAGATATGGACCGCGCAGTGCGGGGCCCTCAAAAGGTTACTCGCAGAACAGTGCAGTCCTAGTCATATTGAGAAGCCAATGGGTGGCATCACTGGCTTTGGAATAGTTAGAGGTAAATCATGGCTCTATAGGTGCTTCCTGGAAAATGCTAATACGGGATCCCCCGTCGGGATAAACTATGCATTAACGCCCAAAAAAGGTGGACTTGCTCGGGCGAAAGGCTATCACATATGACCCGCCGACTGAAACGTACCGAAAAGCCATATGTATAAACATGACACTGCATCTCGCGAGCTGTAACGACGAAGAGCCGCAAGGCACTTTGAAGAAGAGATCGTGAGGCAGAGAACGAGAACGCATGGCTGGCGAAGGATATCGACAACGCTCTTTTTGAGGGTTATATTGGCCAGTCGCAAAGCTCTATAAAAAATTACGTGGAGGTATGTGACAGACCTAACCTGTCCAATCGTCAATGGCATGCGGATCTATACCACGATGCGCTTTTGGCAGCCAGGCGCAGAACATCTTATGAAAGCTTCTGGGATGGTCCACTGACTCAAGACTTCCCCTGGCGAATATGACGTCCTCTCGGAATAGCCCTTCTGCGTCGGCTGTGTCATGGAGGGGCATGTCTCTGTCCTTTGACGCCAGCATCCAGGGTCTTAATGGCAGGTTGTCAAATAGCAGGTATCTGAACATCTGTTTCTATCGTATCCGATGACTGCTGACTGGTCAGAGCGCGGCTACATATTGAAGATGTCCAAAATGGTGTCAGACTACTCGAATGGGTGACTGCCTTAGGAATCAATGGAGGATAACAAAGTTGGGCACTCATTCCTGTGGTGCTAGCTTAACCCCGGCTGGTATGTTAGGAGACGTCAACAATGTTATTAGACCACTGGAATGGCTCACTGCCTTCTATAATGAGTCACCGAGCCAAGGAAGCCCTGATAAATGCTGAAACACAATATTAATAGATGTCATTGGTGCCTTAGAAGTGACATGTTCATCCATGTCAAGGAAACTGGCAATGTGACCAGCACTCTCCTCTTTGCTGTACAACCAGTGCAGCATCATCGGCGGTGGCTGGGTAAATACTATTTCCAGTCCAGTAACAGCAACGGAAGAAGACAGAGGAGATATCTTGGATACCACTGGTGTTGGTACATTAAAGCGGGGGGTAAGGTGGAAGGATGCAAAGAATGGGGGGTGAATGACGGATGCTTACTACTGTTGGTTTGGGGGTTTTTGATACAATAGATATATCGGGACATGCTATTACTATGGTACTGATGCAGAATAGATTTCTGTATTAGTTATAATATGTTCATGCTAATATGAACATATTAATATGATTACATCATGCTATCATCATCAGGTAATACATTTATAGTAACTGACAATCTGCATGGTAGTAGAATGTGGGAAATTTAAAGTGACAGGTGGTGCAATGAGAGCTATACTGGATGGATGGATGGACCTTGATGAGAGTAGAAAAAGAAGTAACTATGAGAAACATATGCGCGTTGCATGTGCTATCACTACATATGAAGTGATGGTATGCATGGCAAGCTACGGATTAAACTGAGTATTCAATGTTCAGTAAATATAGACAATCTGTCTACCGTCATGTATTAAACAATATCATCACAGCCGTGGTCCTTATCAGCCACCGTTTTGCTATCCACGCTCAACTCTGCTCCCATGGCTGGCTCCGATTATCAATAGTTACCGGAAGATACGCCGCCCACCAACACTACCAGCCGACCAAGTGACCGACCCTCTTACCCCCAAATTCCCCATACTCAGTCCGGAGAACCCTACGCCACCACCCTCTCCATCCCGCTTATACCGCCGCAGCGCTTCCCTCAGGTGCGAAGGCAGCAACTGGCCCCGATGGGGATTCGGAGGCAACTTAACATCCTTCTTCCCAGCCGGCGTAGACATAGGCCCCCTCTCCACGGGCTCCTGCTTTATACCCCCAGGTGTTGTCGTTGTCGTCGTGGTCGCCGCCTGTTCAGCTTCAATGGCAGCCAAAGCCGCCTGATCATGAGCAAGAGCCCACTCAGCCTGCACGGTACGAGCCTTCTCGATAATCTCACCGGCAAAGACCTTCGTAAAGCCATTTATCGTGGTAACCACACTAGCCGGCACAGACTGCGACAGAGCATGGTTGACAATACGTCGTAGCGTTTCCTTTCGTAACTTGGCTCGTTTGAACAAATCGTATCGTTCCGACTGGATGGGATTGAATGCATCCACCAGCAATCTAGACAGAAAGAACCAGTTAGCACCACACCACAATACAACACAACCTAACAAAGGGAATGGTGGGATACGCACGCCATATTCTTCTTCTCCGCCTCCGTGTCCGTCGTCCCCTCCTCCCTCCCCAACAACTCCCCCTCATCATCAAAATCCTCATCCTCATCGGCATCTTCTCCCCCTCCTCCTCCAGCACCTCCGCCACCAGCACCGCCCCTCACCGACGCGCCATCCGCATCCACCGATCCCAGTCGATCCATCCCCGCCCGCAGACTCCCTTCTTCCCTCTCGCGCTCCTTCTCCGCTTTACTCTTGCGGCCGCGCTTCTTTCCTTTCGTGAGAAAGACGCCATCTGCGCTGGTCCCGCCTAAACTGCCTGTGAAACTGCCCGTCACGCTGCCGGCGTCGCTGTAGGTGCGCGTGTCTGCGTCGATGGTGTTGGGGAAGGAGGTCTGGCGGAGGGGATGCATGCGCGGTCGTTTGGGATGGCTGCCGAGGGGTTGGGAGGAGGCGGAAGAGATGGAGGGGCGTTTAAGGGGATTGGAGGATGGAGGAGGTGGTGAAGACATCGTGGTGGTTGTGTGTATGTGTTTGTGTTGAAGGAATGAAGTGACGGGTGATGTTGGCAGTCGAGAGCCGACAAGGCTTGCTCGCTGCGCGGATGAAAACTCGTATCTCGATCTGTCTGGGGATTTTGGTAAGGCGAAATTCAAAAATAGGTTGTCAAATCATTCAGGATAGAAAGGGTAAGGTGGTGGACTGGATATGGAGACAGCTTGGGGAAGATGATGCGATGAAGCGCGAATGAAAGAACGAAAGGCCGGCTTATCGGTGTTACGGCCCCCCATCCGGCAAGTCTGCCGAGTGGTCGACTTTCCGCCGGCGCGCTCCTGCGCCCGCCCGCTGCTTATTTCTACTTCACTCGTTCTTCACTCAACTACTCGGAAGTTCTACAGTTCTACGATCAATGCGCCTGATCAGTCTGTAAGACGGATAATATTCGTTCAAAATAACCACAATGCCACAAGGCGTAAGCGAAGGTGGATACTAACATTGCTCAAAAGGAACAAAGCTCAATCGCTCGATGACAGAAAAGTAACAGTTGACAAAACCCGAAATTGGAAACAGTCAAGTAAACGATATCATTCTCCCACTTCCATCTCATCTCTCATGCATGGATAGACACTGTGTTCGCTCTCAAACGCGCTCTTCTCCGAGCCGAGGGGCCCCCCCTTTCCAGTCAAGACGTTCGTAGTAGCGGAACACGAGGTCATATCCGTCCAAGTCATGCACGATCCGATCCACCCGACGATATCCTGCCACATTTTCCATCTTGGTGCGACGAGCTGCCTGCCGCTCAATGTACTTGACCTCCTTGATGTGGTCCAACTCGCCGTCGGCCGTGGTAGTCTCAGGCTTAGCCTCGAACAAGGTCACCGTGAAGCGTCCGGGCTTGAAGATGTTCACCACCTGCTGGATGATCTCCTGCGTAGTCTGGCCGTTCTGCGAGTGCGGCACGTTGGTCTCGAACGACGCATAGGAGCAGTGAGGCTCCGGGGTCACATGCACCGTGAAGTAGTGCGTTCCGGTGTTCTGGTCCGGGGTGGGGATGACGCCGTTGGCGGAGAATCCGCATGGGGTGAACAGGTAGGCGTCGATCCGAGACTCGGGGAACTTGGACTTAGGATAGACGTCCGAAAGACCACAAGACTCCGACACGACCGTTCCCAGAGCATGACCCTCGGTAGTCAGCTCAGGAGGCAAGACGCGGCTACCGTTGGACGACACGTCATCCATATCAGAGTTGTTGCTAAAGACATCAACGTGGTCGTCATTGTCGGCCTCGAAGTTGCAGTAACGCTTCTCGGCAACAGCAGTAGCGTGGTCGAGGTAGAATTGCTTGGCGTTCTCCTCATCCAAGTCGGTCATCAACACCTCCAAAGTCTCATCCTGATCTTCGCGAGTCTGGTATGCTCCAGCTGCGGGCACTTGAAGCATCTTGGTCTCGGTCACCGGATCCTCCGACTCGACCCGAGGGCTGGTCGGGGGAGTGAGCAAGGTGTTGGGCTCAGTCAGGTACAGGTACCAGTGCTCGCCGTTCATCTTGCCAATCATGTAGGCGCTGCCGTTGAGGAAAAGCTTGTCCATGGTGCGAACCTCGTCTCTCCAGCTGCGGTGGGGACCGCGCTGACGGTCAGGGAAGAGGAAGTTCTTGCGGCTGTAGAACACGCGGTACGGGGCCGCAGCGACGGCGATGCCGCGGGAAGGCGCCGTGGCGCGAGGGAAGCCACCGAACAGAGCGGCAATCTCGAGGATGCGCGGAAGTCCCGACAGCAGGGTCGTCGTACCACAGGTCTTGAGGATCAGCTTGTGGGGCCAGACGAACATGCTGGACTCGGACAGGAGATAGGCGTCCACATCCTCAGACGAGACAATTGAGAGCACTTGGCAGTTGACGAGATCAAGCATGTCCTTCCAGATCTCTTCGGGCACAGCCTTCAGGCCGGCAGGACCGGCGGAACCCAGTTCCTGAGCGGACGGGGCAAACCAAACCTCCAGAAGCTTCTCGGGGCCTTCGCTCACGTCAGTATAATGCCAGCATGCGCTTCTACTATAAGAGTGACATACCTTCGAAGGCGTTGGTAGAATCGAGATCCTGGGTCGCCTCATGGTTGATCGTCAAGGACGGGGTGGCCATGAACGAGGACGGCGACGCCGTGTAGTGCTGGGGAATTCCAATGTAGACCATCTTGACCGATTGAAAATGTGGTGAAATTGATCGGTAGAGCGGATGGAGCAGCGATATAGCAGGTGCGCGCGACTGGATTTGTGGACCGTAGACAAAGAGCCTAGGAAGCACTATCTGCTGCCCAGACGAACAGGGGGGCTATGTCCGTCTGAGAGAGTAGGCCCTTAATCTTTTTTTAGGTAATTGGCACTCAGCCAAAGAGGGGTAGATTCGGTAGAAGCCTGAAGGGCTGCTAGGGAGGGCGGAACGAGAGGGAAAGGAGGAAAAAGCCTCTGGAAAAGGGAATGGTGACTATATCGTCGTAACCCTCGTGCTGGAAGATACCGATACCGGCGAAAGTATCGGGTCTAGCAGACGAGAGTATCTGCTTTTTTGAAATGTGGGAGAGGAAAAAGTGAGGTTTGCGCGACTGGAGAAAAAAAGGTGGGGTTCAGGCGTGTTATCGGGGCCTACTCGCGATCTGTTAGCCATGACAGAAACTTTTGACCCACAAGAGACCAAGTGGATGGAAGAGATTCAGAAGACGGAGACAACCTACTTGGCAGGCTTAGACAGGTACCGTAGTAGATCCTTCGGGTTCATGGAAGGCAGGACAGAAGACGAGCTTAAAACAGCACGATGTCGCGAAAAGCCACAGCACTGAACATCTGCGAGGCGACTTCCGACGGCAACGATAACGGGTAGGGCAAGTGTGCAGAGAGAAGCAGCAGTAAAGCGATTTGGCTCTTTGATCACTCAATGAGTCAAAGACAACCAAAGCAATTAAACCTCTTCACCAGACAAGTGAGAGAAGGAGGAAATTAAATAAGATTTGGGAAAAGGGCACGCGGACGTGGGGGGGAGGGAAAAGAAAGAAGTAGTTATTGACGGGCGATGGTTGAGCGATTATTATTGCTGTCCGTGATCTGTGTGGGCCCGGAAAAAGTTCGTGGGGCGGGCAAAAAAAGACAAGAGGCCAATCTGGGTTGGGCGCCAGCTGGGAATCAAGCGCAGAATCTGAGAGAATGGCGGGAAAAAAGGTTCAGATTCGGGAAACCTCCAATCAATAGGATGAGGGGAAGATGCAGGAACATATAACTCACCTGGGCAATTATAAAATTTAGTCCAACCACACACGATCCCTGGAGAGGCAGGAGGGCGCGATGGATGAATAGTAGTAAGTAAGTAGATGATGAGAGAAGAAGGCCAGGAATAAAGAATGAGCCGGTCGCATTTTCCCAGCCATACCAGATCCAGACAAAATAATACGGAAAAAACCCGACATTTCATGCCCAACCAGGCAGGCGGTGGTACAAGGGTCACCAACTTGAGAGAGAGGGTGACGTCGTGTCTCCCCTCCCTTACAAGGAAACCGGTAACACAACTTTCTCCTCTCTTATAGACATTCCCTACACTATGAATATACTAGTATACTTTGTTGCAATCAGTAAGTATATCATGCAGAGGTACAATTCGCTAGCTAGCATTCAAGAATAGCCCCGATTCCCTCCTTCTAAACACCCTTTTCCCAAAACGCCGATTCTGTCCATGCCCAGCAACAAAGAATTAACTAACAAGAATGTAGAAAAGATTCACGCATGCCTCTTCACCCACCCCCTAAGATGTACATCCAGAGTAGATACAAATGATGCTACTTGCTGTAGTGAGAGAGACAATGTAGAATCAGGATGAGGACTCCACAATGGCATGAGCCAGGTCAACTTCCCCCGCGTCACTAATCTTTGCGGCCAGGAACTCGCCCACTTTCTGACTCAGCCGATCTCGAAGGCCATCCGTCACCATCGCGCCATGACCGTTGGCCAGTGCCATCCGGCCCTCCCGTAGCGTGTTCAGCACCCCCAGCAGCACGCTAAGCACCCGCTCTGCTTCCGGCCGGCGTGGACTCTCCTCCGCCATCCCATCCTTGAGCAGGTTGCCGTACGTCGGCAGATTAGGCATGATCAGCACCCGCACCGCCTCCGCACCGCCAACCGCATGTAGTCCGATCACCGCGCCATAGTGCGCCCCAAACGGCTTGGACGGGTCCAGGAACGTCTTCAGGCACGACCGGGCCAAGCGTGGCTTCAGTGTATGCGACGAATTGGAATATTTCTTGGCGATAAGGCCCAGAAGCGATGCCGCAAGGTCGCGCAGGGCAAATTGTTCCGTCAATTCAGCACTGCCACCGAGTTGTCGGCCGATCAGGCACGTCAGAATCGGTGGAACAAGTGAGGCAATCTATCAGGAGTCAGTAAAATGTAATCGGTGTTGTTCATGTGACAATCATGACTCACATAAGGGTCCACGTAGAGAGACTTGTTCTGTACCAGAGCCTCGGCCATGTGCATCACCTGCGTCAGGACAAAGACGTCCTTCAGCCCATGCGTCACCTTCTCCGAAATGAACTGCACGAAATATGGCACCAGCTGGTGTAACCCAGGGTCTTCTCGAAGACTAGCATAACCCGACGTCCTGTACTCCTCACTGGACTCGTCCAGGAAGGCGTTGCAGACCTTCTCAAAGTATAGCTGCAGCTCCTTGGAAAGCACATGCTTCACCAGGGGCTTGACAGAGACATTTCCTCCTCCACTCATGGCCGCCAATGTAGAGCTTGCGTTGGGTCCCTTGGACATCAGTTCCATGTTTCTCGAGTCGGCCGCCGTAGGATTCTGGGGGATGGACGGTTGTACACCTTCAACCGCCAACCAATGGGCTTAATGGAGTCAGCATGCCAACATGTCATTGTTGATAATTTCACACAGCAGCAGGGCCAAGAAACATACCTGTGAAGGAGACCTCCCGAGGAACCCTGGGCAACGGCGCATTTATCAACTTCTCAAAGTCCACTTCCTCGTCCTCCACGTAGAACAGCGGCTGACCAGGCCCCAGTGATGCTTCTCCAAACCGCAAGGGCCTTGTAGACTCGTATCCGTACAGTGGCTCCACGTCCAGTACGCGCAGGGCCTGCGCGACATCTTGTGTTGTGAGTAGCGTGCGTCGGCTGTGGCGCATGAATTTGAGGGCTTCTTCCAGGACCTGCGCGATGCGGTACTCGACGTCGCGGGCAAGGTTCTCGGTTACATCATTACTGAGGTTCACAACACCGACCGACTCGGCGACATCGCGAATATTATCGGGGTTCCAAACGGACATGGTGGGTGCGGTGTTGAAGTGAAGGTGGAAGAACGGAGGCTGGACGTTGGAGGGTGGGTAGGAGGGTGTAACGTCGTCGGCTCGTCAACGAGGGGTCCGGTTATTTCGTGCAATGTGAGGTGAGTAGGTGATCATCAAAATAATTATCCGGGAAGAGCCAAAATCATTCTGGAAGGCCCAGAGCAACAATGTTGAAATGAATGGCAGCAAATAAATGCGACGCGGGAACGGAGAGAGCTTCGGAGGCAGAAGGCGGAGAAAACTTGCCGTTGGGCATCCCCACGTGCATCTTCCACTTATGTCCGTGGACAACTTGCAAATGGAAAACAAGAATATCATGTGTACTAACATATCAATTTCATCTTGGGTGAAAGCAATCATGCTACAGAATACGAAACTAAATTCATATATTTTGAGTTAACCATAAGCATGACGAATTGGAAAGTGAAACTGAACCGTTTATACTACTACTTTGCTAGGTATACAGTGCCCTATCCTACCACAGGAGGACGCAATGCAAAGTCGGGAAACGGACCAAGTCTTTCAGTTCCTGATGTGATGTGAGGTCTTTAGCAGTATCCTTACTTCTAGTATCAAGAACGAAGTACGCGAATGGTGACAATTTGATGACCGGTATTTGCTCGACTGTCTAGTCTTTGACCCCCTTCACCAACACATGGACATCTTTCGCAGTTCTTGCCGCTCCGTGGTCACTCCACTCCATAGCTTTCTCATCTGTCTGGTATAGTTCAATCTGAGTCTTGTTAAAGATATTTGCAAGGCAAATATACAACTCAAGGTAAGCAAGGCTTAACATACGGCGGTCAGCTACTATATTCCATGGCTGATGTTATAACTTACTTGATGCCAATGCATGAGCGTGTTCCCTTGGAAAATGTAACATTCCATTTATCCAGTGTTTTTCCGCTTTCGCCAATCCATCTCTCAGGATTAAATTCGTCGGGCTTGGGGAAGATGTCTGGATCAAAGTGGATCATCCTTGCCGACATTGAGACTGCTGTCTGGCCACAAGCGAGGATATTAGCTTGATCGGTTTTGGCTCATAGTGTCATGCCTTGACTTACTCCTGGTGGTATTAATTGGTCATCAACTTCAATTCCACCTTTGGGAACAATACGCGGAAGTCTGGTTGGAGCGGGAGAGGACAGCCTAAGTGACTCTTTGATCACGGCAGTCTATCCATGGATTATTAGCGAAGAACCCAGGTGATAAGCAGCAAACGCTGTTAGTTACCAGATATGGTAGGTTGCGTAAATATTGGTATTCGATAATGCCATCTGCGTTCACAGGCTGGCACTCGAGCTCTTCTCTCAGCTTCTTTGCAGAATTTGGGTGCGTTAGCAGGTAATAAGTAGCGCAGGATAGCGCGTAGCTTGTAGATTCCGTCCCAGCAAAGCAAAAGAAGTATGCTTCATTAACAAGCCCATCCATAGACCGTGATGGAGAGTCTTTCTCTGCTTGAAGAAGCGAACTGAAAACCGTCATTCGGGCATTGCCTTCTTTCTGGTCACTTGGCGCAAGATTTCCAGAGATATCTCTCATCCACTCCAAACACCGCTGTTAGATCATGAGTTATTAGTGAGCTAAGCTTTTCTTAGCAATGGCATTGATTGGTGCTTACTCACCTGTCTAAAGTCCATGTAGCCCGGGGCGATCATGTCCGTCAGTCTGGGAGGGAGTTTAAGGGCAATCCGGGCGAGGATGGGAAAGCTTCTGAACAGATGAAATCGATCCCCAAACATAGCTAGGCTGGAAAGTAATGGCGGATAGGCTGTTCCCGACATAACCAGGTCTAAAGATCTTCCATACAGTAATACCATTATGGCATCGGCCTATGGAGGATACTGTTATCTGACCTTCGGATTCTTTAGCAGGTCAAGGAGTATAAGAACTAACTGTGACACAATGGTAGAGCTGTTGAATATTGAGCGGGCACTGCGTCTCCGCTGCGATCTTTGCTTGATTAATAGCTTTGGTCACGATCATTTCCAGCTCGGGGGCCAGAAGATCGACATGTCCTTTTGCAAAGGAAGTTTTCACAATGTCATAACGGAGCTTGTATTCGTGAGGATCGGTGAGAAAAGCAATGGAGTCATTGAACGCAATACTGCCAAAGAAGGCAGGATCCTTGTAAAAGTCCGTTCCGTTTTTGAATACTCTGGGTCTTGTCAGCACAGTCTCACCTAATCTAGTACTCCCTTGTGGTACCTATTGAAAAAGTCCCTGTTGTTGATGTGAAGTTCATTGGGATGAATACGGACGACAGAGCCTGTGTAGTAGTGAGCATAAAGAGTATGATGGTCATTTTCTTCAGCAGTGTCAGACCATATTTTGCATGTAGCGATGGAAATGATTTGGAGTACTGTCCACTCAGGATGACATCTTTATAAAATTCGTACCAACTGGTCGCAGCAGCAATCCGTGGTCCGGGGAATTTGCTGAGGGGATGGAAGTAAAGGCGAATAGTAAAAACGCTACAAGCATAGATAGAGATACCAATGAGTAGTATCAAGCTGATATTAGCGGGCAGGACTTGTTCAACTAGCAGATTCAAAGCAGCCATGACTGAATGCGCATGCGAGTATAAAGCAGTGTATTACTTGAATCATATTTTTTGAGAATCTGAAGGAGCAATCTTAAGTTACCCTCGGAAAGGTTTCTCTCTTAGGAGTATCTCCGCAGTCGCACGGGATATAAACCCAAACGTTTTCCATTGTCTATCATTCTCCCTTTAGGCATACTCACACCGTTGTGTACTACAGTCATAATGCACGAGCACCGTTCTAGATTGCCCTGGAAGAGCGCGTTGCCCCCTACATTCCAAAGCATGCCGTCAAACACCAATAGGGTTGCAGAGTATAAGTCAATTTCATGTACCGGATTTTGGTGTTTGTAAGCCATTAAAACCCGCTAATTTCTGTATGGAAATACTACCTTTATCAAGCTACTATCTCTAATGGATTTCAATCAATCAAAGTTTACTACTGGTATCCACTCGTGATGTTTTGAAATTGTAACGACAATCATTAGGTTCTGATCTGGAGGTTTGTAAGCTTTGGAAGCTCACACAAAATACCAAAGAGACAGAAGCTTGTTCAAGCAACAAGCACAACGATCCATATCCGGCGACATCAAGGAGTACCCTGCATCAACAGGAATTATGACACCCGTGACATATGAAGAACTATCGGATGCGAGCCACAATACACTTTCCGCAACCTCTTCCGGCCGTGCACAGCGTCCCAATAGGGAGCTTTGCTTTGCAAGTACGTCCTCACTGGCCCCAATCTTCGTCAGGGCGTCGGTAAGCATTACAGTTTTGGTCATGCCGGGGGCGACCGCATTCACCCTAATCTGGTTGTGGCCGTTTTCTTTCGCTGCAGTGGTGGTCAAAGCGGCCACACCGTGCTTGGAAGCACAGTATGCAGGCATAGTGGGCTTTGTCTTCAGAGCACCGCTGGAGGAGATGTTGATAATGGAGCCGCCGCGACCTTGTGTGATCATCTGTTGCAGTTCCCCCTTCAGGCAGTAGGCGACGCTGGACAAGTTGGTATCCATTACTCTACCCCATTCGGTCTCATCCAGCTCTGAAATCGACATGGAGATTACGGTTCACGCCTGCGTTATTCACCGCAATGTCAAGGTTACCGAATATTGTGATCGTTTCCTCAACCGCATTTCTGATGCTGCTGGAGCTGGTGACATCTGTCTCGATGAAGCGTGCTTCATAACCCTGGCTAACAAGTTCCTTCTCGACTTGCCTACCTACGGCCTCGTCAACTTCGGCAAGAGCGACTTTCACGCCAGATCTAGCGAGTGCAAATGAAATGGCTTTGCCGATGCCCCTCCCACCTCCTGTCACCATAGCAGTTTTTCCATGTAGATCGGGGTGGATGGCCATTGTCGGGTCAATCAATAGCCAATTGCTATGGGTTACGAAGTGGGCTTTTGCGGTAGCACGAATTCGGAGAAAAGAGTCTTCTTGTCGAAGATAACATTTATGTCAATCTGATGCCTTCTTAAAGCCAGCAAAGAGTCATTGGGTCATTTGTATAAATTTCTCTCAATGCAGCTCGGTGCATGAAATGCATGCATTATCACGCGTCCATTCTTCTTGGGAACAGCGAGAATGCAGAAGCCTGATCCGTATTGCTGCATTAACTCAAAATGACGAAGCGGGCTGGTGACCTACCTAGTCCTGATTTCACTCAGCGTATTATGGGAAGATTGAGTGTATAGCCCCATTCTTGGAAATCGAAGCAGCAAATGTACTGTAAGATAGCCACGGCGAAAGGTCTACGCAGTGCTATTGGTAGAAGAATCGGCGTGGCTGGTCTGCAGTGAGACTGACTGGACCTCATAGCCCTTGAGTAAATATTTAGAGAGACCACCACAATATGATGTAATCATCTTCCGAGACCTCTATCGAGTCCCCACATTGTATTGAAAGGAGTTGTTTAGACTGCAGTTTTTGCTACTCGAATAAGACTCGCACATTATCAACAGGACGTAGGTTTGCACCTATGAAACTAACGGCGACACGGTTGCACCTGTCCCAGTCAGTCAATTAGTAAATCTTCCCATTTTAACTCAGTTGTCATTGGGAAGTAGTACTACCGGTCTTGTAGGATGTGTGTCACGAGCTCCCATGGCAGCAGGGCAGGTATACAACATTCCTGTTTGAGAGCAGTAAATGCGTCAACACCTTGTAGATCCTTTCAAAGAAGCACAAGCAAACTTCGACTGATTTTGTTCCCCTGCTGGTAATCACAGCATTGGGAAAGCGGTTATCAACCGTACTACCCAGCAGTGAGGGAGAGAAAGAGGTCAAATGATACAGTTAATGGTGACGCCACACCCCTTGGGGTAATGCTAAGAAGGCTTCATGGTAGCTATTTGGACAGGCATCCATCCACATTTAGTATCTGATTCACGTAGAGGCCACGATAGACTTGGATATCAGAAAAGCTCACCCTAAGAGTATTAGGCCAAACCCTGCTTGTCCACCTTGATCTATCATTTCTATCCTTGAAACTCACTTATCAAAGCCGTGAAGATGGAATGGGACGCTGGCAATGTTGTCGAGGTGAAATTACCTCCGCTATTTGTCAACTTCGCTGCGCGAAAGGCTCCAATGAACAAACATTACCAAGCCGTGAGAGAAGAGTCAGAGCAGTGGCTCATCAAGTATAGTTGTCCATTGGTCTCATCCTAGCATATCATTAGCTAAAACTTTCAAGGACCTGCAAGTTTGATACTAATATGGCAAGTTTCATTCACAAGACCGACTTCGGATATTTCGTGGCTATCGTGGCTCCTGATACAGAGGAAGATAAGTTGCGAACAATGTTTGACTGGGGGAACTGGGTACGTATATCTTGCTTTCTACCATCTGCTTTTGCTAATCTTGCTCAAGGTCTTTCCTTTCGATGATGGTAGTGTCACCTTAACTTTATGGCATTCGCGTTTACTCGTGCTTATATACCGATATGAACAGCTTTCGATAATGGAGAGTTGAAAGTGGATCTGGATGGCGTGCGAAGAATGATGGACGAGCTTTTGACTGTCATGGACAACAAGGTAACCTTTAGACCAACGGATCCCCTTGTTGTTGCTTTCAAATCAATCTGGGACAGACTGTCTGACGTGAGTGCCTCTTCCATGAGATTTTAATCCTCGCTAATGATCTAGTCGAACTGCTCTGCTGGTAATCGCATCGTCAACCTAAGATTCATCTAGATGCATAATTGATTATTAGTATGATGCCAGGAACCCTTCGACGGTTTGCTAGATCAATGCAAGACTACTCCGAAGCCTGTATTCAGCAAGTTATCATGCAGTCTAGATTCCAGGGCAGCGAAACACTGTCAGTCGACGAGTTTATTGCAATGAGACGTGGAAGTATTGCAACAACGCCCCTATTTGCGCTGTTTGAGTAGGTTTCTCTCCTACTTAGTTAGGATCAAGAGTGCTAACTATCAAGATACGCCTATGGATTGAACATACCAGATGAAGTCTTTGAGTGTTCGTCAATCAAAGAGCTGGAGAGAGTTAGCACTGAAGTGACGGTCATGTAAGAGCCTTGTCCGTTGTAGAAACCAGTTACTAACTCGACAGCCAAAATGACATCGTTTCCTATCGGAAGGAGCAGGTATGTGCATATGTATGGCCCTGCAGCGGAAGGCGCAGAGTTCCTAACCCTCCGTCACCAGCTCCTCGATGAGAATAGCAATTTGATCAAGATATATCTCCGGGACGGCTTCTCAGTTCAGGCGGCTTTTGACGAAGCTGGAAAGTTACTGGCTACCTGCTACCGTGACTGGTATTTGGCACTGGCCGACTTACCCAGTTGGGGCGAAGATGTCGACGCCCAGGTTCAGACGTATATTGAGGGGCTCCAAAATGTTGTTCTGGCTAATATTCACTGGAGGTAAGATCTTCTCTCAACTTCGCTATATTATCTAATGGTGGTGTAGTTTCCGAGCTGAACGGTATTGGAAATCGAATGCGGAGATACAGAAGGATAGGACGATTGAAGTGCGACTGACATGAGGATGTCTTGGCTGTGGTGAAAATGACTTAGATTGTGTTTGATTCAGGATTTAGATTGCTTGACTTACTTCCCATGGCAATAGGCAGGCTGGCAGGCTGCCAGACTGCCATGCAGTGCTCTCTATCAGTATTCGCATTGCTGATGCTTGCCTAAAATTATCCTTGGGCCTTATGATTTGATACAATTCTCAAGAATGCCACTTGTCACAGGCTAGCTATTCTGTCTGGTTGACTAGATGCGATAGGATTTGAAAGTGTGTGAAAACATGGGAGAATATCCCAGAAGAGGTCTAGCTATCTCTGTGCCTGGAATCACAGGCCACCAGCTCGCCATACTTCAAAGACTGGCCACTCAAAATCACTATGTAACTTTGATGCTTCCGGCCAATCGCTTGAAATTTCATATCATACAGAAAGAACTCATTTCACTTGTTGTTGCAGGATGATGAGACACAGTCTATGTTAGATCAGTTACTCTCACGCTCGTGACCCATCCAGACTATTTTTTTTTCCCTCCCTCCGGATCATCTCCTTCCCATTCTTACTGATCATTCTCTTTAAATTCAACTTGACCCCTGAAACAATGGAAGTATCACATATAGACGACATGGAAGCAGAGGTGTTCGAACTACCAACAAACATCACTACAATTCCTCAAACACCAGTTCAAAGCTACATTCAGGAGACGCTAGCAGCAATCTTGGATGAAATGTCCTCCCCTGAAGGCCAACCGTCCATTACTCTCAAACAGAGAGGTAGAAAGTTCGCATCATTATTCATCAACCCACAAACACAGGCCCTGGAGTCCTCAGAGATGCAGACATACACGACCTACAGATGGCCCGGCAGAGATGAGAACGAAGCCTGGAGATTCAGTACGATCTATGATCACCGTTCATAGCCTCCTCTGATAAGGATGCAGCTGTCTCTTTACGGGTCCTCGCTGCCATTGCAGAGGCAGTTCAAGCGGGATTGGTGGTTTCCAAGAGGTGAGCAGCACATATCACCAGTATACTATACCCCGAATCCATTTAGTACTAACTCTTAGAATAGAGACATATATTACAGCGATCCGGCCTGTTTTGGTACTCAGAGAACCGTCGATGCCCTCGTTGATGACTTGGCGCACACAATGGGGGTGGATCGTACTGCTTTATATGTGGTTTGTAGAACTCACTAGTACCCACTTCTAGAATACTAAGCATGCCAATCACAGGAAGCAGCAGCAAAAGGACTCGTTGTGGGCTACTATCAGATAATTACTAGCAGCGGCGCAGTGGTGGATGTGCAATTATCAAACCAGGTCTGTTACAGTCATCAATATTGCACACAGCATGAGATGACCTTTCCAGGATACTCTAGTACCCAGAACGCAAGACATTCACAAGATCGATCTCGCAGATGTTGCGTGGGTATTGGTTTTAGAAAAGGAGGTTCTTGCTGCCGTCAAACCCTTCTATGTCAAAATGGAGTGAACTGACACCCTCAGGCCGTATATCGTCGACTCGCGGGCAGCAACTACCACATCAGATCTGCAGCAGGAAAGGGCATCCTCGTCACCGTACGTCCTTGTTCCCTCATCACATTCCAAGAGAAATACCAACAATCATAGGGAAAAGGGTATCCCGACCTCAACACTCGGGCATTCGTCCGAAAGCTCTTCGACCACAGCCGCCAACTCACCAAACTACCGCAGTTCTATGCTTTATTTGATGGAGACCCAGACGGAATGGCCATCATGGCCACATACAAGTACGGTTCTGTGGCTTTTGCCCACGAAAACCGGAACTTGAATGTCCCAGGTCTCCACTGGCTGGGACTGAAAATAGCAGATGTGGTTGCAGGCGCTGATCCGCTAGGCGATAATAAGCTAATCCGTCTCACAAAGAGAGATAGGAAGAAGGTCGTCGCTATGCTGTCTAGAAATCCTATCTGGGCGGCCGATGGCCCGGAGCCGGAATGGCGAGTCGAGCTGCAGCGGATGCTCATGTTGAATGTCAAGGCAGAGACGGAGATTCTGTATGACATGGAGGGAGGATTGACCCGATGGTTGGATCAGAAGCTGAGTAGTAGGTAGGTAGGACATATTCATGGCTTAAGCCATTATAACGACGAAATAACGATATATACTAAACAAAGCATCTATGCATTCCCGACCATGCATCTACCCCAGGAAAGATATATAAGAATAAAATAATGAAAGAGAGTGAACATACCACAACGCCAACCCAAACAAACAATGCATCCATCCATCCATCCAATCATCCATCCAGCTTCCAAGCTATGCCACAATTCCTCCACGACACAAGAGTATAAACAAGACAGCGAGCAGCCAGCCCACCAACCAGGTACTTATATACGAGCGAAACCCCCTACCCATCACCACATTTTAACCAAGGAGGGGGGGTTTCTTCACAACCCCAATCCCTTCCGAACCTCATCCCTCACCTTCCGCTCATACTCCCCCCTCCGCTCCCTCCACATCTTCGCGGCCTCAACATTCGCTGGAGACTCATCATTCGGCTCCGCCAACATACTCATAACAGAAATGAGAATCTTCTCCACGCTCTGAATAGGCGACCACCGCTCCGAAGCATGTTCGTAATGGTTGGGGTCGTCACCGGGGGGATGGAGGATGGAGATGCACACGGTTCCGTTGGGGTAGACTATACACATACATCCAGAACAAATTAGCACATGCCCAACAACCCAGGTATTTTCAAACAAGACAAAGGTAAACGAAAGGGGAAAAGAAGATCCCATACCATTAGGATGCCAAACCCCACCACCCACAAACTTCATCGTCGGCGGACTAAGCGGATAATCTTTGGGAAACTTCAACTCGGCCGCAAACACGCCGCCCTCAAAGGGTGTACCTTCGGGTCCCTGGATCAGTGCTTCCCAGTGGAACATGTCATCTTCGGTGACGGGGCCGGCGGTGATGCCCTCGGGGGGGTTGGTGGAGAGGTTTTTGTATTCGTGGAAGAGACGTTTCTGGGCGACGGAGGACATTTTGATCACTGCCTTTTTCCCTTTTTTTTTTCTCTTGAAAGATATTTGATTAGAAAATTGTTTTGACTTTTCTCCGGCGTGGGAGGGGAAATCTGGTGCTGGTTGGGGTTTCTTGTGCTGGTGGCGTGGCGGTCTGGCTGTGTCTAATCTGGCGATTAGATAAAGAGGGGAGGGAGGAGAGTGCGGAGATCGGACCGGAGAGGGGAGGGTGAAAGGACACCGGGGGAGAGTGGTTATGTACCTGGGGTGGCGTTGAGGAGATAAGTTAGGATTAAGAAAACTTTTTTTTTAAAAGAGGCTGGGTTACTACTGGGGAAGATAAGTGGCCTGGAATTGAATTGGAGGAGAAATCAAGGTTTGCCACTTTTGAAAGCCAATGAATTGATGGATTGATTGATTGTTGAGCCGGTGGGATGTGGGTGCCTGAGGCTACAATGATGCTTATCGCCGCATTCGTCGTCAGGGTGGATGGAGTATTGATGGACTAGTTATAATTCTGTATAGGATTGTTCATCTTCGCGTGATATTATACATTTTATTGGAGATTTCACTGTCGTTATGGTACACTGGCTGGTTACTGTCAGTAAGCTGCAAAACCCTTTATGCATTTCAAGCAGGGCCGAGAGTTAAATGACATCAACGTCTACTCCGGACTCGGCCCGACCATGTCGAGTATGCCATAAGTATGTCAGAGCCGTTACGGTGATTCTCGATACACCGAATTCATGAGTTCTGTTGTAGTACCCTCGCACGAGTAAGGGGGATCGTCTCACAGTGTCAGCCGGCATCCTGATCTAAGTGCCTTTTGTATGGTCGATCAGCTGCTTAGAACCAATCGAAATCATCGCCTCCCTCGCCCTCGTCGCCTTCATCTGCCCAAGGGTCCTCTTCCTGACCCCATGTGTTCTCAGGCTCCTTTCCCCACGAGTTCTCAGTCTCCTCCCCCCATACATCTCCATACGGACCCGTTTGACCCGGCGTCGGTGGCTGTTGGTCTACAGGTGCTGCTTGCTGATCGGGAGCAGGCTGGCTGCCTCCCATCCCACGAGACATGGCGTCGTAGCCAGCCATTGCGCCCGCGCCCGCTGCTCCAGCTGCTGCACCATCAGCCATTCCACCAGCTGCCCCGGCGCGACCAAGAGTTCCCGCGGCCGCTTCCCCAACGGCACCTGCTTCACCGGCTGCTGCGCCCCCGGCGGCAGCACCCCCAGCAGCTGCCTCACCACCGAACCCGGGGATCCAGAGGGGCATGAAACCAAATCCGCCCGAGTTGCTATGGCGACTAAAGTAGTCAAAGTCAATGCTCACAGCGGTTGCCAGCATCACGGCACGCTGGTCGAACGTCATCCCAGTAGCCGCACGGTTCTTGTCGAGGAACTCTTCGCTGGGGGAAGCAGAGTCCATCCTGAGTGCATAGACACCCGTATCCGTGAAGATTTCCCGGGCAAAGCCGGCAAAGTCGCGATTCACGGAGCCGATCAGCTGTTTGTCAGAGGAACGTAGGCCAAAATCCCACGACAAGAAGGGCTCGTCCACATAGGCAAATTGGTGGTATTCGCCTGTTTCCTGGCCACTTTGAGATGATTTAACCAACTGCATTTGCTGTGTGTTGGACATATCCATCTGGTTAAGTGGTAGCTTCTGTGTTTCCATCTCTGTCGCTGGATTGGGCGAGTGGTGATATGTGAAAAGGTTGTATTTGCGTCGTAGCGGGGCCCATTGCTGCTGGGCCTCTCCGATAACCCGCATTTCATCCAAGCCCAAGGATGAAACCCGAGCATTTGAGTCCCCTGTAGGGTGAACCAGAGATCCGGCAGAGGTTGTCTGTAGCGTGGTGGACGTTGAATAGGTACCCTTTGCCAGGTCGAGAGGATCATATACGCGGATTCGGGAGTTGATCCATGAGAACGGACGGTGGAACTACACAGTCAGCATCATCCACAAATAACCTGCAGATTAAAACCCACCCGAAGCACTTCATTCTCATGCCTGTCAAACACATGTGTCACGAAACTGCGATGCGTCCGGAACGATTGTCGCGCCATCATGTTCACCATGCCTTTCTCTTGCTCCGCCATATAGCCAATATGATTGCCGTTGGCATCCATGATGACGTACTTGTTGGCTTGCTCAAAACCAATCATCACATTCATGAGCTCCAACTGCCGCTGCACCACCAGACCTGAGTTGGCGAGGATTCCGGTCGCCGGGTGCGTCTCTTTTATTACGCCATGAGGGTCTTCGGGGATGTGGACTGGAGCGAGGAGAGTGTTCTGGGAGGGGTCATATTGGGAGGCGGGGGTCTCGGGGTTTTCGGATGTTGTCTCTGGATTGCTGGATTCAGGTGCTCGCGATGCCGGGACGTCTCTCCTGATGGGTTCAGGCCTGCGTATGGAGTTTCGGGGGCCTCGGGGGTTGGGTCGGCCGCGAAGTGAGCTGGCGAGAGCTCGACCGGGAGCTCGAAGGCACTGCGCCGGTGGTGTTCGGAGCGCACTCCACATTCCAGTGATTAACGCCAGTCAGTATTAATGTAAGATGCGAAATTAGACGAAGATACGTGAGGTAAACTGTAGCACCGAGAATTATAGTTGATTTAGCTGAAGATGGAAGAGAAAGAGAGGAAGATTCCCGCGATGACGAAGTTGCGGGAGCGGAGTTAACGGCGATAAAACGCTGATCATCCGCCCTCGTTTTGCCTTCATCCACCCCGTGAACTGATTGCGAAATAACTCAGGAAACTCTCCAGTACTTTCAAGTCCCTGTTCAAAATGCTTTCCATACAGAGTATCAGGAGCTTCAAATTATCACAGATGGCCGAGTGGCTCGGCCGCATGAGATCGGGGTAATGACTTGTTCTAAGACCTTGTCTTCATATTAAATATATATATTGTAAGGCTTAAACTAAGTACTACGTAGGGAGTGCTTCTCAGGCGCTTTCGCAGATAATGACAAAATAACTACGATCATGATATCATTTCCACACCCAACAGACGCTATATAGCCAACGGAAGAAGCATTCATATTATTCTATCATACGCACCTTAGTATCCAGTCTTTCTAAGTTCTGTTTACATGGACTAACCTACTTTACAGTCGGAGCGCTGATTGCGATGCAGCTGCTTTAAAAAGTCAGTACTGATGGAAATGACATTGGAATGCTATTATTTGCTGTAACCAGGCCGGGAAGTAAGCACAGATGCCCAGAACGTATAAACCAGATATGGGTTGGTGTCTCTGATCAACAACCCAATCGCAAGGGGATGACCCGGAATTCGAGCTGCTGGCCATTCATAGCACAAAAGCAGCTGCCTGTGCAATATCCAAGAGCGCCTTGACACCAACAAGGCAATAATGCTGCAAGATCCATTCAACCGCGACGCAGTTCAATGCGCAGGTCTCAGAAATAGCACCTGGACAGCAGGCTCCCCAAGAATATCCAAAACCAATAAGCGCTAACACGAACACCAATGCTTTCCCAATCAAGCCGAAAGCGACACACATATCATCTCGTCGAGACACCTCAATCACAAAAGACCCTTGCGCGCCAACTCAATCTTCCGCGCCGCCTCTCCCGCCTTATATCCCCCCTTGGACACACAAACGGCACTTCCTTCGCCAAGTTCAACCTTCTCTTCGACATCGGGGTGCGGACACGGGCAATGGTGCGGGAAATGGACGCATGCAAGGGTACCAGGACAGAGGTATTTATCGCAATGGGCTGTGCTAATTAGCTTTACACGCATATCCCAATAAAAGAATCCACCACTTACCTGAATCCCACTGACTCTGATACCGCGAGCTATCACTCGGAACATTCTGCGCCGCCTGCTGACGACCCTGGTGACCACCACCACCACCGCCGCCACCTCCAAACATATGCTCAAAGAACTGGAACTGCGCGTGAGCCACAGAGGCAAGTAGAAGAAGGGCTCCGAGGAGCCGAATCCAAGAGAACATTGCGAACTGAGAGAGACTCGACAATCAACCGGGCAATATGTCCAAAACCAAAAAAAGCGAAGCAAAAGTAAATTGCAGATCAAAGCAAGCAAAGGAACTAAGTATATAGTTGTAGATAGATAAGTTACCGGCCATCTGGCCGCATCCGGCACGTGACCTCACCCGCCAAGTCCCATCTCCGATCCGCGAAAAAAAGCAGGCCCCGGGAAATAGAGCGAGCCATCTCTCCCCAGTTCAATTCCCATTGAACATCACCCACCTCTCAATCCACACAATGTTCCAACCTCGTTTTCTAGCGCCCCTCCGGGCTCTAGAAAGGGGACTTACCAGAGCCCCCACGGCCGCCATCCGCAACAACAACAACAACACCTCCTCGCTCCTCCGCACCACCTCCTCCATCCTCTCCGCAACCAGCAACAGCAGCATATTAACACAATCCAAGCTCACCCCGCTAGCATCCCCAACATTACACCAATTCCTCCAAGTCCGACACGCCTCCCACGCCTCCCAAGGAACCGCGAACCGTCACTCCCGCGATCCGGCCGGAAAGCGTCTCGGCGCGAAACGCACAGCCGGTGAATACGTCGTCCCCGGATGCATCATCTTCCGGCAACGAGGCACGAAATGGTTCCCTGGGGAGAACTGCGCCATGGGCCGCGATCATACCATCTACGCCGCTGAGGCCGGGTATGTGCGGTACTACCTGGACCCTGAGCGTCATCCGGATCGGAAGTACATTGGAGTTGTGTTTGAGAAGGATGGGAAGTTGCCGACGCCGAAGAACGCGCCGACTAGGAGGAAGTTGAACCGTGTGGCGGTTCGGTTTGAGCCTGAGGAGGAGGTGGCTGCCAAGCAGGGCGATTTGGTGGCTAAGATTGGACAGGACGGGACGCAGGTTGGCAGTGCTACGAAGGTTGAGGCTGCTCAGGCTGCCGTTCAGTTGCGTCCTGGTTATATGTACCGTGAGGCCAACTGGAGTATTGGTCGTGCTGCGGAGAAGGCTGGCATTACGGCTAAGCCGTATAACCGCAAGAATCGCTGGTTGGCGTGGAGGAAGAGGACTGCTAAGGCTGATCGGTTGGCACAGATGAAGAGTCTGAAGAATAAGAAGAAGAAGAAGGGTGGAAAATAGATGATTTGATGGAGGGATCATGTCAGTGAGAGGTTGACTGCGTGTGTGTGATATATTAGTTTTGGTTCTAGGGTTTCTTTTTGTGTCTGTCTACCTATATGTAGTATGTATTATAAGACGTTTGAATGGGCTGCAATTACTATTTCCTTTCTCTTTATTAAGAAACAAGAACTGGTGCTTTAATAGAGTAGCAGACTCCAGGGTATATTGCTATCAGTATCAGTTTCGCGAACACACTGATTGATCGAAGCAGCAAACATAAAAAGAACAAGCAGATACTCCAGACCCCATACATTCATCGTAGATGATCGTCGAAGATATTACCCCCACTAGATCCATTCATTACTGGTCAAACAACCTCCCCAAAATCAAGCTCTGACAGACAAACTCATTGCCGACAATCTTGACATTACTGTTCACTCCCAGCTCATTGCCGTCAAAAGATTCCATCAGCTTCGACCGCTTACGCTTCCTCGAACCGGCGGTCGACAGTGAACTTCCCAGTGCCATGGTCTTGGCGGAGGAAGCTCGATCATCGTCATCGACATAGATCCAGTTCCAGCTAGTGCCGTCGGCTCCTCCATCCGTTTGCGTTGCACTCAGGATCGCGCGAGCAGACTTGAGATCAGGCACGCGCTCGATGCGGGAAGCACCCAACGCATACGTCAAGAAGAGATACGCCTTACGTTTCTCCTCGTCTGCTCGACCACTGCGTCCCGTAACAAGAAGCACGGATTGTCCGTTGAGAAGATTGGGCCGGCCAGCGATGGTCTCAGACAGTCGAGCCTCTGTGGCAGGGTACGGGGCTAGGAATCTGGACTTGGTTGCACCGTTGAGATAGGTGGATTCCCCGGCTGGGAGGAGGTATATTTCCCAATCGAGGATTTGTCTTCGGGCAACGCAGTCCTCGATCCAGCGGTCAGAGAGGCAAGGAAGATTGAGTGCAAGGGCTTGCATGTACTTTGACCGACGAGAATGTTTGTCGGCTATCAGACAGGCAAATCCCACGTCTGCGGCACCACTAGTCAGCCGCAGATGGCCGTCTTGGGTACTAGGGAGTGGAGCAGAAGACTTGGTAGGTGTAGCAACTGGCGCACTGGGAGGGAGTTCGAACAACTCATTAAACCCGTCCTCTAGAATCCGGCCGTCGTTCTCCAGAATCATCCTGGTAATTCGTGATTTGGCCTCGTTGTTGTCTCCGTATGACACCGCAAATACCATACCGGCAAATAGACCAGTGGAAAAGCGGAAGCTGCGCGAGAGTCGAGCGCCAGGGGACATGGGCGTGGAGTGTCTATCACCTGGCGTTTGAGGTCCACTTTCGGAAACAGCAGGCCCGGAGTCGTAGCTGAATGCCCGGTCTTTCAGCTGATTCCAAAGGATAGTATCTAGGTAGATTCGGGAAATAGGAACAGTAATCCTGTTCTCTGTAACTGCTAGTCCTGAGCCGGGGAGACTTTTGCGCTGCTTCGGTGTCAAGATAACGGAGGAATATCCATATACGTCAGTCATAGGAATCAGTCCGTTCGCAGCTCCCTGTTCGATATCACTCAAAGTGAGCTTGTCGGCGAACCCAGAGATGATATGTGTCACCTTGGGAACATTGCGCATGTCCACCTTGACACCATCACCAATACGCAGCTCAAGTCGTTTCACCGCGCCAGTGGGAATCTCAAGCGGTGCGCTATCTTCGAATTTGACCAGATACCGCGACTGCGATGTGCCAAAGGGCTTGCCAAAGCACGTTGCAGGATAATACGCGCGCTTTGGTCCGCTCCATGGGGCAAGGACTTGGTTGACGGCGATAGGTACGTTCTCATGGCTAACTGAAGGCTGAGCTGGTTCTTGAACTCGAGGCGGTGTTTCCACAACTGGATCCTTTTCAGGTGCTGTTTCTGTTTGTTGGCGTGCGACTGGTTCACTGGATGGTTCCGGCATTGAACTGGCCGCCTGATCCTCGTGAATGGCAGGCAGTTCTTCTTGAACCGGAGCATGCTCTTCAACCTCAGCAGGCACCTGCTTTACCGGAAGTGAGCGACCTAGAAGCCGAGACCTCTCTTTACGAGAGACGTGATGCTGAGTAGAATCATCCATATCCCATATGCTCTCCGCTCTTCTAGAGGGTCTTGACCGTCTCCGATAGGTTGGCATTGGCTTGGTGGCCGGCTCAGCCTGCTTCTCTGGCTCCATCTCAATGACAGGTGGCATTTCCTTCTCTGGAGAAGGCACGACATGAGTAGGCGCGCGAGGTGTAACAGGGAACACTGGGTCGGAAGCGTAAACACTCTGCCCGCCGTTACCGCGGCGCTTCTTCCTTGGCTGAATAGGAGACATTGCAACCGCAGACCGGAACTCCCGGTCTTCAACGGACAGGATATTAATGTCAAGGTTGAAGGAGCCAGCCCCAATCTGTGGTGAGGCATCGGCTGCAATTTCCGTCAGTGCCCTGCGCTGTCTGCCGCTTGGGCTGGACAGAATTTTTGAGTTATGGAACAAGGAAGGTTTCAAAGGCGACGAGCTATCTGCAGCCATCGGTTGAGAACGAGACCCCCGTTCATGCGCATCCATGTACACCGGCGGCAAGTCGTCATCTTCTTGATCGGCTACATCGGTTGTATTATGATCGTTTGGCCACCTCTGGTGACCAAGGCGGCTGGGACTGGTTTCGGGAATGCTTGTCATTGGTATGATTTCTGCAAAAGCCCTAGGAGCAACAGGAGTCTCGGCGACGCGCGAGGGCATAGATGAGGACTTGTCGGGTCGATCCAACGTAGATGGTTCGTTGCCTGTATCCGCGCCCCCATGCACAGCTGACTTGCTTGACTCCATGTTATGCTCTTGAGCCAACGAGGGCCGTGGAGTCTGGGAGCGGGATGAACTCCCTAGCTCTGATCCAGGCCTGCTCACCGAGTGAGCGCAGCCTAACTCGAGCGATCGTCGGCTGGTCTGGGACGCTGAAGGGGGAGAAGAACGTATACGAACTTGCTTTGTGGGCGATGGAGTTGCTCTGTCTACATCAGACAAAGAGCCCATATGAGCCTGAGAGCCTGACTGATGTATGCGCTGCGCAGTCCATTGCTCCTCTGTGTCATCATTGCCAGTATCCCTCCGACCAGCGGAGCGCTGAGAGTCCTTAATGACCGAGACCTGTGAGGAGTAGCCTTCATGCAACTGCTCATCCTGTACAAAGCTGCCAGAACGTGAAAGCGATCTTTCTCGCGCGTTTACCGGTTCCCCATTGGTTGGACACGGACTTTCATGCAAGGCAAGAGCTTGCGATAGGCGGTCATGCGCGCTCGCAGCAGCAGCACTGGTTGTGGAAAGGTCGTGGCAATTTTCTTTATCCTCCTCGGCTGAACCATCGAGATCGTAAGGCCGTGGCGTGGGCTGTTCCAAGTCATCCTCTTGCTCTTGTTCCGTTTCTTCTTCGCTGAGCGCCCCATGCTGCAGCCCGGTAGACCCCTGCTCTCTCACCTCCTCGACTTCTCCAGAAGACCCATCAGTCAGATCTGGGCCTTCAGGCACTTCAGAAACGGGATTTAGGATCATGTCCGCTTGATTACCACGCCGACTGGATGGCCTCGCAGGGGCTGTGAGCTCCACAAGCTGAGCATCAGCCTCGTGGTCAAACATCTTCCGGCGCCTCATTCGCTCAACAAAACTAGGCTCCTTATCAAATTCCCCGTCGCTTTGGTCCGAGTACACATGGTTTGCAGAACGTGTCATTCTTTCATGCAAAGCCTTATCCCGGTTGGCTTGAGATTCCTGCATGCTGATGTAGTTCCATCTGTGGGCGGACGTGTCCCGTGGAAAAGTTGCGGCGAGATTATTGTAAGGCGAGGAGAGCGTTGTAACAACCGGGTGGCTCTGAATGGGAATATTCGGAGAAGGTCTATCTGACATAGGGTCGGATTGTTGGCCGTTCACTAGAGGTGATGATGGAGCCTGAGTTGCCCTAAATACCTGACTTAGTGCCAATATCCCACCACTTGACCCGATATCTGCCGCAAGGGGATTCCGCGAAGCAGTGGGAGACACAGTGGCAAGGCCCTCGGAGTGGGCACGCTTCACTGCAGTCATGGGAGTCTTTGTCAGAAACCGCTGCGACTCGGGAAAGAGATTCGGCTGATGCAGCATGGGCGAAGATTCGCCCAGCTTCGAGCTACTCTGATCCTCAAGGTCCTCGTTGACAGCATCAGTATGAAGAGGATCGTAGCCAGATAGCAAATCAAGATGTCCGCTATCGCCTTCATGAAGGGTCATAAGCGTTGCCTGATCACCCAAATTGCTCTCCTGAGCGTTGTCCGCAGCCTCCTGGTTCTTCCTGATGATTTCATCGTAAACTGACTGAGAGACGACCTGCGTGTCCGAAGGAACGGCATCGACCGAAGGCATTTTCGTAGACGGAGGCACTAGGGTCGTAGAAGGGGTTGTAGAGTTGGGTTTGGATGCTGGATTCGTGTTCATCGAAGTTGTGGCATTATGTGATCGCGAGGATGACCGTGAAGGCGACAACGGCGTCGGGGATTTTCGAGCTTTCTCTTGAGCGGGTGAGGAAAACGGTGACTTTTGATGGGCTTCCGGGCGACAGTCGAGGTTTGCAACTGTCCCCAGGCCATTAAATTGGAGCTGCGAAGGTGCAGATTCCTGATGGATAGCAGACGAATGATGTTAGCGAATGGAGATCAGAGACTCCGCCACCGGGAGAGGCCGTCACTCACAAGCCCCAACGCGACGCGTTGCAGCTTCGCGATGTCGATGCTATCCTCCTGCGTCTCCATAATCCCTCTTACACTGCGATGCCTGTTACACAGCACAAGTGATGGCTCATTGCCGAGGTGTCTGGCGCCCCAAACCCACGAACACTTTCACCACTCGGCTTCCTCGACTGTTCTCGTGCTCTTTCCAATTGGACGGAATACCGTAAAATGCAAAACGCGAAACGCGTCACTCACGTGATATCTCAATATTACCGCTCTGGGTTTAGCCTGTCCGAATCGACAAGCCAAAGACGATCTACAATCCATCTATAGAACGAGAGGGTAAGCAGTACTATATAAGGAGCGCAGGAGTAGGTCAATGTTGCATTCTTCACACCAGAAAATCGTGATCAACAATGCCAACCATAATGGTTTGTGAGAGGAGCAGGGTTACATATGGTTACAATGAGTCAAGTGCTTTACGTCTTGCCAAAAGAAAACCCAAACGCTCGAACAGCACGATGCATATAGTACAGAGAAACCAGATGATGCACTCATTCTAGTCCCGAGTTCGATTGGGGACCCATCTTCGAATAACCATTTCCCGGACTTGATAACGAGACAACATCGAACCAATATCCTCTTCCGAGGGAGTATCAAGCTCGTAAGACGTTGGCGGAGGCACTTCCACATAGCATACCACCAAGCTCTTCTTCACCTGGGCCTGGACTCGATTGACACAATGCAGCCACCACCAACTGCGCGCTGTCTTCTCCTCACACTGGGCCTTGCGCTCGGCCGTTTCAGACCAGTAGCCATGGCCATAGGATGGGACGACCACGACAGCAAACTCAGCATGTGAAAAAACCGGACCACGGTTGTAGAGAATGTAGTCCACACCGAACTTCACTCCGGAGCGCACAACCCAACCCAAAGAACGGAAATGGTGGTACACAACATATGATAGCATGAATGGGTCGTCCGGCGTGAGATCCACTGACGGGGCTCTAGGAGGGAAGTAGGAGTGTCGACATAACAATGGCAGCAGAGAAGATGTAGGAATTTCGGATTTGCGAGTATCATCGCGAACACGCAAGACACCCAGCCCATATGCAAGAAAGAAGGCCTCTTCGTTAGATAATTGAAGGTGCTCTTCATTATTCAATTCCGGATCCTCATCCGCCTTACCTCCGTCCGCCTTTCCATCCGCAGATGTTTCTGGCAAGCTCAAGATAGCCGAATCAGAAGCAAACTCCTTGGCTTGCACAACCGGAGAAAACCGCACAGTTTTGCTGCCACTAGGTGACCGCTTTCCGGCGGAGTTAGGGGTGCGTGCAATGCCGTCTTGTGATACTGAACGTTGTGACTCAAGGAGCTTGGCTTCCCTGGCTTCCCGTGCTTTCCTTAGGGAGAACTTCTCCGTAGTTGATACTGCGCCTTCAGAGCCACTGTTCGGAGTGGGTGAGAGGGATGACTGCTCGTTTGACGTCGCGGTGCCGTCCCTGGCAGCCGCTTCGGCCTTGAGTCTCTCCTCAATGGCAAGCTTTTCCATCCTCGCGCGCTCCAGTTTCAACTCGCGGCGTTCTGTCCGCCGCTGTCGTGTAACCTCTTCGCTAGTCATCCCCCCAAGTAGACCTCGTCTCTTCTTCTCACGCTCAAGCCAGCTCGGCTCACTTCGACTCAGGGTTCCCTTACCAAAGAAACCCATCTCCCATAGCGCCTTTATAGCCTTAGGGTCTGTGACATGGACCGAGGATGTGGCAGAGTCAAAGTAGGCAGAGTAGACTTCCTGGTGAGGGGGAGAAATAAAGTATGTCAGGTAGGAAAGCAGTACACTGACGAGCGAGAGAGGGTTATGGGGGATGAGAGGAGGAGGATGCACCTCAACCGGGAAGGGGAAGCGATGGATGTGTCGGTAGTTGGGCCTTGGAGGCCGCGAACGACGAGCTGGGGAGGCAGCATTGTTTTTTTGAGAAGAGTCGGACTTGCCAGGAGCAGCAGTCTCCGAAGCAGGACTAGGAATTGTATTGGAAGCCATATTTAACAGTAATTCTTATAAGCTCAATTGGATAGATATTCGATTCTAACTACAGGGAAGAGTCAGCAAGAAACTCTTCAGTTACAAGCTGGAATGTAGCCGCCATCGCCAACCCCGACAGAAGTAATCAGAATCATTGTTGTGTTTCTCCTCAGATACCGTTGTAGTCAATACAAAGCCTTCACTGACAACAGCGAGAAATCAAGGTTGCCATTGCCTAAGCTTAGGTATGTCATCATCACCGGAGAAAACAATGAAAGCAAAAATCCTTCCAGCAAGACCGACAAGGCTGCTGGCTGAAGCTTACCCGAAATCCTGTGCAAGATCTGGGGTTGGTCAAGCCATTACACGAGAGGCAGCTTGTCCCTCGTGATGCGATGTAGTGTATCTTTAAGAATACAAAATATCAATTAGCGAAAGAATCCCAGAGTCATTATGCAAGACGGGAATGGATGCGCATTATCATCATCAACATCCTCAATATTCCCTCATCCTGCCTGGAGTGCGTTGGGATGGTTTGCGGAAGGAAGAAAAAAGTTGTTTGGAGCTCGCTTGGGCAGCCTTAAATGGGACCGCGCGTGACTAAGCTGGCCCTTGGCCCGTGCCCCGTTCGCTCCGCCAAAAATTTCCTGCATATCGCCGAAGTTCAAGTCCAGCGGTTTGGCATCGATAAACGCACTCGTTCACCACCCAGCACCTCTCTTTCGTGTTTCAGTCGACTAACAGATCTAATCTTTCAAGTGAGTCTGTCTGCAGTTTACTTCAATGCTACTCGCTCGTACTGACTGAAGTCCTCTAGAATGCATCTTATGTGTATGTTTCTCCGCAGTCGGACTCCCCTCGATCGATCAAATCTAACGAATGCACAAAGACTCTCTGGGCCCTGATGGCAAGCGGGTTTACACCCTGAAGAAGGTCACCGAGGATGGTCGCGTTACCAAGAGTGCTCACCCCGCCCGTTTCTCTCCCGATGACAAGTACTCCCGGTAGGTTCCTCTTCGCCAACGGTATTCAGACACATCGGAGAGAGACTCTGGACTAATGATATCGACTATCTAGTCACCGTGTGACCCTCAAGAAGAGATACGGTCTCCTTCTGACCCAGCAAGTCGGTATGAAACCCCGAGTACGATTCCCAATATGGTGGACATGGCTGACGACAGACTACAGACAAGGAGGCTGCTAAGCTGTAAACGGGTTGACGGGAAAACATGATTGAGATACAAAAGGTGCTTTGAATCATTTATGGCGAATGGTGTTATCTATGGTCTTTGGACGATGAGAAACTTTTGTTCGGTTTCTGTGCGGTGCCCATGGCCGGTATCTTAATGTGCAAAATATACCATCCAAGAATTTGCTCTATATTCGTTACCTAGCATATGCTATGTGTATGCTCTATAAATCGTTGATCACGAGCCGTTCATCATAATCCATCACAGAAATAGACCAAAGGTGCAGCCATAAACTTTTAAGCCAGACGCCAACCCAGACTGATGCAAAGAGACGAGAAGCCATGCCATTACCGCTTTCTCGAGTTGACATTCCTGCCAGCTCCCACACGGACCCGACCGTTCCTGTTCCGCTCTCCAGTCAGGATGCTTGGGAGGTAGTCCTCGTCCATGAGGTCGTGCTCCTTGCGCATTCTACGGCTCTGCTCTGCGGTGGCTCGAACATACTCTTTCTGGTCTTCCGCCAGAATCAATTCGGTACCCCAGCCACCCTTACCACCACCTCCCTTCCACTTTCCGTTAGAAGTGCCGTGGACGGGCTTGGGGACACTGAAACGGTTGCCGCGGTTGTTCCACTGCATGTTCTTTTTCAGGTGCATCTTGAACTGTCCATTCGCGTCAGTCGTGCAGGAGACGCGGGTAAGCGTGTCTTTGCCGCAGCGGGGACAAAACTGCTTGTTCATGTCTTTGGTGGTGAAGAAACAGGCATGGCACCGCTTGATGAAAGACTTCAGATGGCGAATTCGCTGCAGGGTAGAAGTGGAGAGCAAGTTCAAGTTCATCTGTAGCAGCACGTTTTGACACTGTATCCTAGTTAGTATGGAATATAGTCATCGGAGTGAGAGTTGAAAGCATACCGCAAAATCGGTAGTCATGGTGGCAACCTGCATCACCTTGGGCTCCGGCGCCGCAGCCGCAGAGCTAGCCTCATCGCGGGCCTGCCGCTTCTTCAAGTTGGAGGGCGTGATCCAGCCACCATCCGAATCATCGCCATCATCTTCCTCCTCTTGGGCGTCGTCGGCGTCCTGAGGAGTCGGTTCCTCCGTCTGGGCCTCTACAGGGGCATCTTGCACCGCGGTCTCCTGTGTGCTGGTCTCCTCTCCCAAGCTTGCGTTCTTCAGATCTTCCGCAACGGCATCCACCTCAGCACCCTCGTCTTTGTTCTCTTCCTTTTGGGTGGTCTCGCCCTTAGTCTCATCCTTAGCCTCCTCTCCCTTCTCTTCGGCCTTCTCCTCCTTCACGGGTGGCTTTCCGTTCACCTGTTTCTGCCCCGGAACACTTCTCAGTCTCCAATCACCACCATTCCGCTCGCATTCAATCTCGTATGCAAGCGCCAGAACCTCAATATCCGTTTTACTCAGGACAGCCCGATCACCAGTCTTGCGTGCAAATTCGCTCAGGACACTGACGCTTTTCGGGGATGGTGTGCGCTGCTTCAAGAAGGGGAGGTAGAGTGTCTCCACACGCTGGCGGGCGTCAGGGTCACGGATTTCGCTGACGACGGAGGGGGTGATGAGGAGTTCTTCGCATTGTGCGAGCAGCGTGGATAGCGGCGGGGTATTCTTCAAGATGGGACCGGCGTCAAGAACGATGGTGTGGACGGGCTTCGCAGGCGATGCAGAGTCCGTCATTTTGGCGGTGGATGATTTTAGTATCTCTGCGATCGTATAATGAACTTTGTGAATGGAAACCCAATGTAGGAGTAAAGCGTATTAATTGACTCTTGGGCCGCAATGGTTGGATGGAAATTCCTCGGATGGGATTTTCAGTTGGTCTGTGCATCGTTCCTTATCTTAGCGCCCGCTTATCGAGACCCTTCCGACTTTCTCACCATCACTCTCGCGACAACTGGTCAGTGCCATAGTAAACAAGCCGGAATTCCTCTGTCTGATCCATCGTCCCGGAAGATTCAGAATATTCTGACAGATTCCCTCAAAAAGCCACTATCGTGGTCTGTCTGTCATCTGGACATCCACAGACAAAGTCTATGTATTTCAAATCACATGGCAATGACAGGTCATTCTAATGCAGAAGGCCCCGTCCCTGATCCATCAGAGTCATCCAAAGTACGAGTACTCAAGGTGGTCAGCACACCAGTAGCCTTCCCAAACCACGCATTCCTCGGAAATTGAAAAAAAAAAAAAAAATAACAATCGAGGGGATTAGAAGCATCACGAGAATCTCATTAATTTCGCATGGTACCATCAGGATGCCGAGCTCTCCGCGCGAAAAATGAAAGGAGTGCGTGTTCTGTCCCTAGCAAAATGAGGGATGGCGACTAGCATCAACCGAGCAAGGCCACGGTGAGTCCACTTGCCAAAAGTACTTGCATACAATTGACTCATTCTTCGTCTCGACCTGCACACAGTCAGTTTGCGGATTCTGAATGGAGGTGCCTGTACGGAGTACTCCGTCTGACTGCAGAAGTGCGAACAGTACCCTGGACATGCGTCTAGCTATCTTCACACTAATGCAGGTATCCATGGAATCAAAAGACTGATAGGCCGTTCGTCCGGTGGATTTTTGCTGACAGGTATTCCGTACCGCGGATGTTTTCAATCCGACTCAGAAGCTACTGTATGTGACGGGGATCTATGGATATCGTGCATGGCTCACAGATATCAAAGCAATTGGCACTTCAAAATTTTGGGTTATTTTGTCGTGTTTGATTGGCTTTGCCATAACGGTGGCGCGCAAATGCCAGCTGACACTTCAACTAGAAGAACCTTTCAGTCACCATCGCCGAGCAACACGAATTTTGAGTAGACACGCAAGCAAGAACGACAAGAAATAGAGAGGGTATGTGTGTGTGTCCACGTGTGGACTTTGATCATCTTATGGTCCATGCTATACGCTCTATTCGATGCATGGCAGAATTCCTAATAATGGTTATATATAGAAAAATCGCTGCGCTCGACCTGTCCAGACGCTGGCTCTCTGGGTAGAAGGCAACCGGCTGCCTCGTCTCCATACAGTCAAACTCAGGCGATGAATACTCCATATTTACCACCAATTCATGAACACTATCAACTCACTCAATGGATCAAGAAAAGGTCTTCGGTAGTAGTTTTGGTGATTCTTTGACCGGGTCGCTGCGGGTATGATTCCCGAGATATATAATTGGGAGTAGATGAGTCCCACGATTGTGTGTTACCCAACTCCTGATGGCTGGTAGGAGATCTTGACGCACACTCCACTTCGGCCAACCCAGAATGCAGGCGTACTGATCGACCAATGGATATGGCTCTGCGTGGAACTATCAGTGCGGTGGCGACGAGTGAGGGTTACCAGAGCCGAACGCGCAGCACCAAATGCTGCTTTCCTCCTAAAAAAAATGCACGCTATGGCCAAGCGACAATGGACCGATAATCATCCAATTCTAAAGATCTATAGACAATAATTAAATGAGCGGACTCGACTTTCGTCTGCGGTTGGCTGTTTTTGGCCAACCCGGAGGAAGGTCCCGGCGCGCCTAGTCGGATGTGATACATCGTCTTTCTTTTCCACGCCGGGCGTTTCAGTCAAATAACCGCACCAACGCCAGCATCCTACTGATCAATCAGCATTGTTTGACAAAATTGATGGCCTATCCGTCGAGTCTCCTCACGGGCTGTAGATAGAGACGCGATTTTCCGCCTGTACAGTACTTTGCCCCCCTGCATGTCCGTTATTTAATGTGGCTCTGATTAAGGCCCCGGAAATCATGCCATGAAATTCCCAAAGAAGGAAATGACAGGTCGCATCGGCCAGCTGGCGCACCCAGAAGTACTTTTGATAACGGATAATGCCTCCCCCCTCACAAGGTCAAGTGCTTATCCAGGAATGAATCAATCATTTTGAGATTTATGGAAGTATCGATAGGGGAGAAAGTATGACAGCCCTCTGCATCCCTTACTCTGCTCATCCCTGCCCCTGTGTAGGACCTGTGGCAGGACTGATTTTGATTGATCCCTTCCCTGTAAAACATTACCCAGAAAAGCCTCTTAGGGGGAAAACAGAGAGTCACCCGATGTCATTTAGGGGCACAGGCCATTTGCAGGCACTGTGGGAAGGACAGACTCGGAGATAATTGATTCTTGCAGCTTACCTGGCCTCTGCGCTGTGGCATGGCTTAATGACAGCTCCGGCCCCAGTCCCAGGGCAAGGAGTCGTGGGCTCCACGATCTGCTGGCTGGGCAGACTGTCATCCAGCCCCTCAAGATTCGTCAGGTTCGAGACAGACAGACAGCTCTACGCACAATGTACTTCGTACGCACGCCAGTCGTATGCAAGTGCCTCCGCAGACGCATAGAACAATCCATGTATGCATCCAACCAGAGGAGAGTTTTGGATACACCGTCGATCCACCGTCTCTCCACTTTTGTCTTTGACAGACCAAACTGGGCGGTATTTTTTTCAGTGACCGCGGATGCAGTCAATGGCTGATCATCATCGACAGTATCCATAACCCTAGCGACACCACAGGGCTGGAACATGTCGCTTAGGCCTCTGCTATGCATAAAGACCTCTCCAGTCACTCTCCGCAAAACCTACGCACAATGGCTGCAAGAAAAACCAGAAAAAGAAATTGCGCGAGGCACCAAATGTACCTTTTTGTTGCCTTTACCCATCTATCAACCTGAGTTTGTGCCAGGACCACATTGTGGCTGCTCTCTATCATTTGCTTATTTGTCTCCTCCCTTGCTTGCTTTTCCTGCCCTCCCTTTCTGCACCACACACCCATTGGACCCAGCTCCTGTCCTAGGGTCGGTCCGTGAATCCGGAGCAGCAATTAGACATGACTGAGGATCTTCACGGGCTCGGTACCATTGGTCTATTCGCATCCTTCTAGTCAGACAAAGCCGTTACTGGGTCTCACCAAGCGCAAAACGTTTATATCCCCATCTTTTCCCCCTTCCCCTGCGAGTGTCCCCCTCACAGTGACACGCGGAACAGTGCTCCTTTCGCTCATTGGGGGGTCAGTCGGACCCCAGGTTTTATATGAGTAACGTTGCTGGTCTCTGTACACAGAGGCCCGTGTACTCGTGAACCCTCGGCCACATTGTACCCTTGTTCAGCCCGACTTGTCTCTGGAACACCGAGAAACCAAACCTCGTCTAAGTGCTCCCACGGAACGATTATTTTGAATGCGATCATGATGGACTTTCACACTCATTTCGCCCGAACGGACGATGGTGCCCATGGATCATACGTGTCACCCCGAGGGGGTCGAGCGTTAGCTGTTAGTGTTGTGTTTACCAGTCTAGCAACATGTTGTGTTGCTGCTCGTATTTACACGCGCACCAAGTTGATGCACCGCATGGAGCCAAACGACTGGATGATATTGCTGGCCTTGGTAGGTGCATGAAACCCTGACAGGAAAACAACAAGTTGCTAACTACCGGGACTGGTAAGACATTGTCCTATGTCTTTATGGGTCTATTCGTCGTGGAGGCCCTGAATGGGATGGGCATGCATGAGGCACACATCCCGCCATCAGTCCTGTTAAAACAGATGAAGGTAAGTTAATAACTTATACAGCATGCGCGGCTTGGTGTTAACATAAGCTGGTCGATCAGGCATTCTGGCTTACCATTCCATTCTACAATGCTGCATTGCTGCTTGCCAAAGCGTCAATTCTAATGCAGTATTTCCGCGTGTTCCCAACCCGGCGCATGCGGCGCATTTCCTGGATTATGATCGGCGTGCTTGCTACCTACGGATCATGGGCCGTTCTCAGTGCTTTCCTCAATTGCATCCCCGTCGCCAAATTTTGGAACCCAACTATTCCGGGATACTGTCTGAGCATGGAGGGACTGTGGTTCTCGAATGCGTCCATGCACATCGCTACCGATATCGTGATTTTGTTGATACCAATCCCAGCCTTGTCGGGGCTTGAATTGCCGCAGAGGCAGAAAATGGCCTTGATTTCAATTTTTGCTCTGGGTGGATTGTGAGTGTTCCGGTACCCACGCACTATTAGCAATGGAATCTTACTAACGCTGTATCTAGTGTCTGCGTAACTAGTGTTTGCCGGTTAGTTTCCTTGAAGAAGATTTCCGACTCTACCGACCCTACTTGTAAGTCGTCCCTCTAGTGCACCACGCGGCTTGTGACTAACAGAGTACTTAGACGACAATGTCGGTGCTGCATCCTGGTCTGCAATTGAATGCAACACGGGGATAATCTGTGCTTGCCTGCCTACCCTCCGGCCTCTCATTTCGCGACTCCTTCCACACTTCCTCTCGACTCTAAGCGGTGGAGGCCATGCGTACGGCTACGCACATGCGCCCTCGTCGCAAAGCCAACCGCCAACGTTCTGGAATGGCACAGGCACGGTGACGACTACGATTACCACACACATGGATGATCTGGAGTACGCTCATTGCACGGGAGACTCGGACAGATATCTTACACTTGTCCCGGGACATGAACTTGGGGGAAAAGGAAAGCTTATGGTGCGAGAGACCAATAATTCGGCCGGTCTCCGCGATTCAGTGACGGGGAAGGATTTGCGATCAGACATCGCATCGCCGTCATCATCGTGAACAGCGTACAATGAGCAGTCGACCAGGCCAATAGGAGTCGCAATATGTTGATGTCATTCTTACTGCTAATATATTATAGGAGCTATTGTTACCATTTCGTTCTTTAAGCGTGTGTTTCCTTTCTGTCTATACCTCTGCCGATGTATCTACTGGCTGTTGCCTTGTTCGACCAAGTTATATATATACTATACTATTCTTTGTGTCAGCCCCCGTGCATTCCTTCATGATAAGGCCAAGTGGGATATGGCAGCTAGCCCTAATCGGCAAGCAATCCCCAGTCGCCCCTCCACTAACTGCGAAGCGCCGCAGCGGCCTAAGAATCATGACCCACTGAAATGGTGAGCGATCCTGTCATCTTCGGGCCTCGGCAATTATCAGTGAGACTGATGATTCTTTTCGATGATTCCACAGTGCGGATAAGTCACAGAATATGCAGCAGTGGCTTGCTTGCAGATGACCTTTCTCTCTCATTCCCGCAAACCAGCACCCGGCGCAACACTATAAAACAGTAATTTAGCAAGTTGAAGACCTCGCAATTGAACCGAAACGGTTATCATTTTATCCCGACGTTTTTCAAATCGGTGTTTCGGCAAGATCCTAGTTCATGATCTGAGGTAAGATTATAGTCCGTCGGCCCGTAGCATGGGCCACCACGTCTGGCCTATTGCCGGCTTCAGGCTTCGATACCGAGCTAACGACCGGTAGATACTATGCCTGCCTTGATAGGGTTAAGAATCGCTGACGCTCTATTTGTGTCATTGATCCTGTGTATAAGGCACAGACGGCTAGGTCTGATGTTGGCCCGGTAGGATCTAGATTGAGTGCTGCTTTAGGTTAGCTCGTCATCCTTCCTCTGCATAACATGGTAGGTGCTTTCTGAGCATTTGCATTATCTTGGTAAAATTGAATGCAATGATGGAGACCAAGTGTGGCGCTGAACGTAGATGGATCCTCTATGACGAATATACGGGGCGAGGCCCTACCTCCTGCCTGGTTCCTTTGTCTTTCATTGACAGAGGACAATTTCTTGCCCACCACTACATACATTGTTGCTTTTCTCGGTGGACGACACTGAAACACAGACATGAAAACTGGTAGGAACATGAAACCCTCGGCCCCTGAGCATGCTTGCAATGAATGTCGGATCCGTAAGGTTCGATGCGACAGGAAATCGCCCTTGTGCTCTAGTTGCCGCAAGTCAGGGTTGGTCTGTCAATACACTAAGGGGAAGCGGATTGATCATACCAAGAAGCTGTCTGTCTCATCTCGAATAGTGTGATTATTGCAGCTGACTTGGTTACAGGGTAGATGATATCCAATCTCTTGCTACTCGTTTGCAACGATTTGAAGAAGCCCTTGTTCGATTTTCATCTAGCGTACAAGCCTCCACCTCGCCTCTCAACAATCTCTCGACCACCTGTTACAGCCCAAACACCCGACGATTGAGTGTTTGGGGATCATGTAGCAATTCTAGTACATCCGATGAAAGCCAGGCAGGTCAGTCTGTAGCTGAGCCTTTGGGGAGTGATGGGTACGGGCAACCAAGCTCTATTTATGCTGAAGCTCAAGCTGCCGGTGACCAGTTTGCCTTGTCATTGCCACCACTAAACAATTCCGGGTCATCATTTGAAGCCTCCTACACCTCTGGCTCGTTCCTGCAAGCTCAGATTGCCAGGTTGAGTGCATTATTCCAGGGACTGGACACTAACAAACCTCCACTGTTGGATTTTCCCCAATATAATGACCAGCCGTCCCGTCTTCCACCACGAGCCTTTCTGGAAACCTTCATCGACACATACTTTACCGAGCTCAATCCGTTGCTCCCCATATACGACCGACAGAGCGTTCTGACGGCCATGCGGACTCAGTACGAAACCATGGACGTTCCTGATCCAGCCTGGATTGTATCGCTCAACAGCATCCTCCTTCAGACATTGGAAGGAAAGTCCACCGCAGCGAAGAAGACGGGCATGATACCTCTAGAGGCGGGCCTTATCACCCACCTATTGCAGAACATCCGGCGATGCTTCAACAATCTCCAGAGGCTACTAGAACCGCGTATGGCAAATGTACAAGCCCTCTTGGACCTGGTATGACAGATCTGCATTTATTTGAACCCAACTAAATGTTGATGCAGGCTTTGTTTGCTCTCAAGTACTACCACTTTACGTTATTCGAGACTGTCTTCACCCAGGCCTGTGAGCTCGCCAAGTCGATGGGGCTACACCGGAGCATGGGCAATGCCGCAAAACAATGCGCCGAAGGTCGGAATCTGTTTTGGTCTCTCTTCCTTATAGATGTGAGTTCGCCATCACCACTTCTGTTCCTCACTAATTGAACAAGAAACAAACATCCCTAATAAGCGGCACACTATGCCTCTTGCCATTCTATGACGTTGGTATTCCGCTTCCCACCAGCTCCGGCATTCTACTCAGCGATCAATTCGGTGCGCGCATCTCCCTCGCTCGGATTCAAGAAAGAATCTCTCGCAGTCTTTACGCCAGCATGCCACGCAGCAGTTGGAAATGCCTGAGGTGGCGTGCCTATAAGCTTGTTCGACGCCTCAACGACTGGACCACCCAGCACAGTCACATTCTCTACCCCCCAGCCAGCACCACCACTACTGCACAGCAGGCCATCGAACTCCGATACGCCCTCTGCGTCTGCCATGTGTTAGTGCAGCGCTGCATACCTGCTTCGGAGAGTCGCCAAGCTCGACTTGAGCATGCTCGCACGGGGTTGCAGCTTCTTCAGGAACTGTGTGAGAGCTACCATCCGGGCGACAGTATTTCTGGCTTCACCATGTTTGAAAGGTAAATGGTTCTCCTCATTACTTTTCCAGTTAGAGAACTGATAAAGATTTTTGCCAGCATTCTACTACGTTACCCCATTGTCCCCTTCCTCGAAGTCTACATCCAGCTCCTCAACCTCGAAGATAATGACAGTCCAGCTGTCGTGACTTCCGACTTCAACGCCCTTGTTTTCTTTGCCAAACGTGCAGAGTGTCTTGCTACAAACGCTCGTGAAGGCTCTCATGCCGATACTATCCGCTCTATATCTCAGCTATGTAGTCAGATTGTTACTTCGATTCTTCAGCAGAACCGGCGTCTTCAA